ATTATTATTATTATTATTATCACTCATACAGGAGTCAACACAGTTCCTAAACCCCTATAATTGCACATACCCCTTAAACCAATACTCCTTTATTGAGAACTCATTTGAGTAGTTTTATTGAATGTGGGATAAAGGAATTTCTCATTTTGTAATGTCTGCATTGAGGAACTCTACAAAATATTTGTAATTGGTATGAACCATTACAGGACTGCACTCATTCATGTGTGTTAGATGACATCTAAGCAACTGGACCTATGCAGAAGGAAAACACAGAAGCACTGTGAAGTTGTCTGATGCAGTGTCATTCACAGCTGTATCTGCTGATCATCAACTGATCACCCTTTAAGAGCTGTTTACTCAGAAATAAACAAGCAAATTTGTAATCAGCAAGTAAAGGATAGACTGCATTAAGCTTTGTGTGCTGAAGTTGTTGGAAATTATGCACTTTAACAATGGTATTTTTAAAACATAGGACTAAGTGCAAAAAAAAGTCTAAACCAGCAAGTAGATCCTTACTGTACATGCACCAGATAGCACTGGTCCTCCAGGACCAGGACTGAGAACACTGTTTTAGATTAAATGTACAGTTGAAAAACCTATGTATCTGATGTACATGAAGCTTTGATTCAAAAGTGTCATTCTGTTTGTAATGCCTGAGATTTAGCATAGGCAAGGTTTGTTTTTGACAAGTGTAGAGATTACTCCCACTCCTCGTAACCTGAATTTTACTACTAATAATAAAATCACTTGGGGGCTTCTCTGACATGATTGTAATAAGAGATACTCACAGTTTTCTGAGAAAAAGCAGAGGTTACAAAACAGCACATCAGGCACAGGTAACTTCCAGGGCTCTGTTTTACACTTCACTTTAACCCTTGTAGCATTAGCATAACCTGCGTTTATTTACCCGTGGAAGGAACTTACCGCATTACTTCCTCTTCAGGAATGTAATGTATGTAAACTTTCCATAACTAAAAAATCTTATTATGGGACCCTTGAAAGATTTTCACACTAAGTTGAATTTGTGTAAATTGTGTTTTAGTTAACCCCAGGGAGAGGATACTGTATTTAATTACAAGGTCATTAATAAAAAAAAATAATAGCTGTAAGACAAAGAATAATGTTCTAATGTTACGAACAAAATTTTCACTCAGCTCAGAATGGAGTGCGATCTGTTTAACCTTTACCTCTTTAGCATTGCTAGTGGAGAACTCGGTGATGCCTGTAATCTGAATTTCACCTTTAGCATCTTCTCGCAGATCCAAATACCCAGTTGCAGGGTTCAAAAGGTCACGTATCATTTCATTGTATATCTGGAAAGAACAATAAAAATATTTTGTATTGAAGTACATCCAGCTGTTTTCTTAAGTCTTTAACCATTAACTTTCTATGTTGTGTTGCATGTCAAATATTTTGCAAACCACTTTTAATAAAAATAAGATAAGAATGAATAACAAACACGCTGACATGAGATTGGTGGAAGCCCTCTAAGTTTCCATCTGAAAGATCAGTAGGCCAGAGGCAGTTATGACAGAGGAACTGTGAGGACCTGACCACATCAGCTGCAGCACTCTAAGCCTTCACTGTCTCCTCCTGGCATCATGGGTCCGTGTGGAAGGAAGCTCCTTCATATTAAATATTGAAGATATTTACACAAAACACAACAATAACATAGATGTACCCTTTATGTAAAAACGAATTAAAAAACCTTTCATATTCACCTCTAGATATGACATATATACACTGTAATCCATATCATCACTGCCCGCTTCAATAGCTTTGAAAAGGTCATTCAAGGTTCGGATATAGATGCCTGGGTCAGAGTCAAGTCCCAACATTGTGAACGTCTTCCCTGCTCCTTGTCAAATAAAAACAGCACATTAAATCAGTGCCATAATCAACTGTGCAAATGCAGAAATTAGACCATCTTTCATTTTGTGATAAGAACTCCAGGGATTCCAACAGAAAAAATATTTTTCTATGTCTATGTAACCTCATACCTGTAGGTCCATATGCAAACACTGTGGCGTTGTAACCTGAAACAACCCCTTCAATCAGATTCTTTGTGGTAGCAATATAAACATCCTCCTGGAAGAAGAAAATTTCAGAAGATTTTCTTTTCTTACCACTGTACAGTAATGAAACAGTACTTTCAGCAAAATATTTTGTCATTTAAAATAATATATTAAATACACAGTATTAATAGGTACTGTTTAAATAAAAATAAATTTAAATCAGAGGTATGAGCAGGAAATGGAATTACAGAAACAAAAGTTTATGTCACTTTGAAATGTGTGTCTTTCAGGTTTCTCTTCTTTATGTTAAGCATATTGCACAGGCAGCAATGTGTAAAGAATAATAAATTAATAAATGGAGGAAATCAATATGTGTTAGAATACTAAAAAAATAATTATTGATTTTCTTTATCCAAAATCTGTAAATTGTAACACAATAATTGACAAAACTTTAATTTTAAAATCGCACAACAATGTTTATTTTAATTTTTACCTGAGATGCTGTGTGATCAAATGCAAAATCAAATACAAAGGTTTTTTCTCTCGATCGGTTGGCCCGCAGAATGTTATCAGGATCCTCACACGGATCCAAAAGAATCAGCATCTTAAACAAAAAGAAATTTATGGAAGAGGTTTATTAAAATAATGTTACATTTTTCTTAAATATTCTTTTGTTTTGCAATGTATTTGGTGCATATATGATTGTTAACCATTTCTATTTTTGAGAAACAAAATAGGAAACATTTTGACTCAATTTTAATTTATTTCTATAAGTGTTTCTGTTTCCTCTTCAATTTATTCCACTGGATATTGTATCATATTCAGTGCCATTCAAAACTATTCATACCTTTTTTATGGAGGCCCTTTTTACATTTTGAAATCACAAAAGGATCCATACAGATTTTTTAAGATTTTCAAATCCTGAGGGATCAAATGGAAGACTTCTAAGAGTATGTTAAGTTGCACTAAATATTAGCAAAATTCTGATCCCTCAACTCAATATTTGGTGAAAGTATCTTTTGGTAATTATAGCTGCAGGTTTTTTATATAAGTCTCTACCAACTTTGCTTGGTGTAATGTTTGCCTATGATTTCTTGTCATATTTACTCAAGATCTGTCTAGTTACTTGGGGATCATTTATACATAGCAGGTTTCCCATGTCTCCACAAATTCTCAAAAGGGAAGTCAAGGTATGACTTTAACTGGGCCATTCAAGAACGATCAGTTTCCTGCGGCTCATGTGGGTCCTAATGCCCCAGTGTAGTGATGGGGACACTATACTGTAAACAGGCGCCGTCCTTCGGATGAGACATAAAACCGAGGTCCTGACTCTCTGTGGTCATTAAAAATCCCAAGGTGTTTCTCGAAAAGAGTAGGTGTGTAACCCCGGCATCCTGGCCAAATATCCCCATCGGCCTTTATCAATCATGGCTTCCTAACAATCCCCCTCTGTGAATTGGCTTCATTACTCTGCTCTCCTCCCCACTGATAGCTGATGTGTGGTGAGCATTCTGGCGCACTATGGCTGCCGTCGCATCATCCAGGTGGGGGCTGCACATTGGTGGTGGTGGAGGAGAGTCCCCATTACCTGTAAAGCGCTTTGAGTGGAGTGTCCAGAAAAGCGCTATATAAGTGTAAGCAATTATTATTATTATTATTATTATTATTATTCTTAAGTAGTTCAGGTGGGTAGCTGTGTCAGCATGCGTAGGCTGCAAAGCAACAAGTAATAGGTTTATTCCATGCTGAAAAAAAGTGGAGTGGAGCCTTCTTCAGGTGTGCCTGAGTTTCAGGCATTTCTACCTTCCGAGAGAATTCGGTAACATTATTATATGCACTGTTACGGTCCTCCAAGGGGAAATGCAGCGGCTGCTGCTTCTCAGGTAGCATATTGTGTACATGAGCAACTCCAGCAGACTTCGGAAGCTCCCTTGTTTATTTGGGGTGACTATAACCACTGTAAACTGGAGATGGCATTGCCTGGATTTGAACAGTATATTAAATGTGGGAAGAGAGGGAACAGAGTTCTAGACAAATGCTATGGTAATATAAAACAAGCCTATTCCACCAAAGCCAAACCACCTCTGTCTAACTCTGATCACAATACTGTTCACCTCATCCCCACTTACCGGACAGGTCTGAAGAGCAGCAAACCTGTCATTAAGACTGTAAATGTATGGACTGGTGATAGTATTGAGATGCTGAAAGGGTGTTTCCTTTGCACAGACTTGGGAGATATTTCATAGCCTGGAGGCTACATGAGGCTATATGAGGCAACAGAGACTGTTACAGACTACATTAATTTCTGGACAGTGTCATACCCAAGAAAAACATTACAGTGTACCCAAATAATAAACCATATATAACTAAGGATGTGATAGACTGCATCAACCGCAAAAGTCTCGCTTTTAAAAACCAGGATCAAGTGCAACTGAAATTACTGCAAAAAGAGCTAAACTAAAACTCAGGAATGCAAGGAATCAACACAAGGAGACAATGGAGAGTGACTTTGAAACAATGAACTCCAGGAGGTTGTGGCAAACAATGAAAACAGTCACAAACATGAATTCTTCAAAGAAGAGTTTCCATACAATGGATGAGCTGGCTAAAGCAAACGAGCTGAACGACTTCTATCTGAGGTTAGAGACACAGGACTTATCTGGTGCATGTGACAATATATTAGATACTACTACAGCTGACAGTAGTGCTGGTAGGCTTGTAATAAGTCAGCAGATGACCACACAATCTTTCAGGCACATATCTGCAAAAAAGGCAACAGGCCCCGATGGCATCACTGCCTCTCTTTTAAAAAACTGAGCAGAGGAATTAACACCAGCATGGTGTCCTATCTTTCAGAAGTCAGTTGACTTTCACTCTGTTCCAGTGCTGTGGAAAAAAGCAATCATCGTGCCAATACCCAAAAAGCTCTGCCCATCAGATAACAATGACTAGAGGCTGGTAGCACTGACGTCTGTTGTGATGAAATGCTTTGAGGGGATTATGGTATCCGTGCTGTGCTCAGAAGTGAACACTGTACTGGATCCATATCAGTTTGCATATAAACACCGGCGGGGCACTGATGATGCAAATAACAGCATTATGCATCTTTTCTAAAACACCTAGAGGACCCCAATGCCTATGCTCGGATGCTGTTTGTGGACTTCAGCTCTGCATTTAATATGCTGCAGCCCCATCTATTGATTAGTAAGCAGAACCAAATGTCCATTAACCATAACATTATAAGATGGTACCATTCATTTTTAACAAACCGCACACAGTATGTTAGGGTCAACAAAACTCTTTCCGAGTCACGATCTTTAAGCTTTAAGTCTTCTTTAGTTTATTTTATTACACACGGAAATCTGACATCAATGTATTTTTCAAAATAAACCCAAAGACTTTCTACACCTATGAGACAAAAATCAGAGAATGTGACTTGGGCATTTCCACAGAGACTAAATTGCTTATTAGACCCATGTTACCAACATTAAATATGACAATATAACTTAAACACAAACATTTGTAGTTCAATATTTAACCTTTACGTTCATTTACAAACTAATGGGTCCTTCAGTCATAACGCTTGGATTATTTCTAAAGAAAAACAGATTATCTAAACGTATTTGCCAAAGCTGTTGCAGTACGTGGCACAGACAGGCTGCTATAAAGCCTCCTTTCATTAATCAGGATTTGTGTCAGATTGAAACAAAGCTCAAGCTAAGCCACATAAACTCAAAGAAACCTCCCAGTAACAGCTCTTACATGTAAGAGCCATGATAAGTTCCAGTCTCTTCTAAAACATTTTACAAATTAACAATTCCTAGTTATCTTCTTTTGAATAGCAATTATCATTAGTTTGTTCGGACATTTGCATTTTATACTGTCGATTTCCACATAAAGAAAATGGCAATAAAAAATACAAAACCCTAAACGCAATATTTTAGGAGAAAGCAAAGCACTTACATTAATATGTAATAATATGTAAGTGCATCAATTATTTCTACTATATTATAAGCCAATATTTTCTGATGTTTTTATGTTTATACAATTCAATAATAGTGCATAGTGATTCAATAAGTACAGTAAAAATGTATTTTTGATTAGTTAAAACAGCATAAAGGGCAGTATAAAATACATCAATATTATCTCTCATCAGAGATGTGGGGCAGTGTGGTGGCTCTGCGCCTGTGGCTGGAAGGTTACCGGTTCGTATCCCATGGCCAGCAGAGGAATCCTACTCTGTAGGGCCCCTGAGCAAGGCCTTTTAACCCCAACTACTCCAGGGGTGCTGTATAAATGGCTGACCTACACTCTGACCCCAGGCTTCTCTCCCTGTCTGTGTGTCTCATGGAAAGCATGTTGGGGTATGTGAAAAGACAAATTCCTAATACAAGAAATTGTATATGGCCAATAAAGTGATCTTATCTTATCTCTTTTGCATTAGAAGTAAAACAGCATAACACAAGATACAAATATGAATAACATTTAAGGAAATGCTTTGATCAAACAGAATCTTCAAAGAGACCAGACAGCATATAATTCAAAGCTCTTGTGGAGGTTCATGACACTAAGTAATGTTTCTGTCCAATAAACCTTTCTTTAACTGCAAAGGCATGGGGTTGTGTAGAGTAAGAAGCAGTACAAAGAATATGTTCTAAAGAATGAATAATGTTGCAACCTCATGTATGAACCACAAATCTATTTGCTTGTTTGTCCCACATTCTATGAATTGACCTACCTGATCATTCAACTTCTGAGCTACCACTGTAGCCCCCTCTTCTATCTCAGCATCACTGATTGGACGAATACGGAGAGCCACCTTTTTGAAAAAATAAATGCACCCAGATACATCAAAATGGATATTAAAGGATGTCCTCTCGATCCCTCTGATTTTTTATACTTATCATTCTACCACATATCTAAACACATAATAAAATGTACAAAATAAAAGACTAACTTAAATAAAACAGACAAGTCTGCCAAAAATTGTCTTTCAGATTTTGAGGTTTTCTGCTGACAAATGTTGGAATAACAATTTGAAGGAATCACAGAAAAAATACTAATAATTTTCATATAATTTGTGTTTTCATGGGTATTTCCTTGGAATAGCCTGACTTGCTTACAAAGCCAGTAACAAATGATATGACAAACCCTATAAGAAATTGAATTATACTGTATATTATTATTTTTTCTTTTACATTTCAAAACCATATTTAAAACATCACAAATTAGTACCTTAATAATATACAATCATATGTTCAAAATGTTTACTTAGGGTAAAGAAAATCTGTTACCTGAAGATGAGAGCAATTCACTTAAGATCCACATCATAACAATATAATCGTACAACCTTCAGTTTTACTGAAATTGTTTTCATGAAAAAAAACTAACGCAAATTAATCAACCAAATTAATGAACATGGGCCCCAACCAAGCAGTTCCTTTATCTTAACATACCTTAATATACATAAATTGAAAAACTCGAAGGTGTCAAAATCCAATAAAATGTTGAAATAATTTTGCATTATCGTAGAATATTGTAGATTATTTCAAACATTTTCCAGATATACTGTACCTTCCAGTTTTCTAGCATATTCTGTATAGTACAAGAGCTGTTTAAGCCATAATATATATATATATTTGCGCAGGTTATCTTGCAGGCAACAACACTGAAGTAAATATTTTAATTTTATCTGCAACTGTAGTTTGGAAAAGTATGCAAATACTTATTTAAATGTTAATGTCCTGTTATTGTAACCAAAATCCTAAAATGACTTATTATGGATGTAATAATTCAGCAGTATCAAATAATGTATATTATAGAAACCTATGTATGTAACATTTAAACTACACACACCGTGTTTACTAGCATCGTACTTCTTTACATCACTGATGACGTAAGACCTTGTGATTTTGATCATAATGCAGCTGCTGCACATCCATTATGATGTCTGCGAAAACCATACTTTTCCCTATTGAACTGTAAATAACACCCAAAGACGGTGGTTTGTAAGCGAATGTCTTACCGTAAGCTGGTGATCCTTCCTCTCTCCTGCAAGGTCTTTCATGTTTTCTTCAAGACGTGTCACTTTTGTCGTAGGACCTTTTCAAACGCCATTATTTTTTGTCTGCAGTGCGTCATTCTGCGGAATTTTACTGCTGGCTTAATAAGCCTCTAGTCAGTTCCATGCAGGCGCTTGACCAGCCGTGCATTCAATAAACCTCTGGAGAGCTGTTGCTCTTTGCCAGCTTCTTCAACAAGACGCTTTCATCAAGGGCTTCAGCATGCCAGCAGCAGCGCCACATACACCGATCTCTCGGTGCTCGCTAATCAAGCATGCATTTATTAGCTATTGTGATAATTTTCTTACAGTTTCAAAAGTAAATCCTGTAATTTGTTAATAGAATACACAACTTCGATCCAGCTGTTCTGTTCAGCCACTCAGATTCACACTGTAGTTATCTGTTCACCCATTTTAAAAATTCTTAAACCACAAGTCGTTTTCAACTACGTAAATTGTGTATACTATACAAATAATATCTGCACGATTAAAAATGGTTGCCATCCTATAGTAACCTAGGAAAAATGATGACGTTACCTAATTTTAGGTTCAGCGTTCTGCCTGTTATCTTGGGCTCTGTGTTTATTAACTACTGTACACAAATTCTCAACAAACAAAAGTTAATTTGCTGTGTCGAGATAAAGATCACAATGTGATTGTGAACTTAACGGTCTAAATTTTAATATAAGTACAAGAAATATTAAACTACGCATTATTCGGTTGATATATTAATCTGGTTTATTTTCGCAATTCATAAACGAAGGTGAAATTAATTTTTAAGATACAACACCCGAATTTAACTGAGCAGTTTGCAAACAATCTGTATCAATAACCATGTTCAATGCGATCATAATTTCTCACAAATAACGTTCAAAGCAATAGTTTCTAAAATATCTTGGATTTTTTATTAATGAAGCCTTTATATAAACGTAATATTTGCATGAGAATTCTGCATTCGAATTACCTTAAATCAGCATTTATTTCCCCATGGAAACAATCACACCACTCACGAACGAGGAAGTAACTCTAGCAGAGTTATTGGGATTATGGGAATTGACGTTTTTCGATTTTCTACGGTGGCGCTTTATGTCCATCTATTGAGCTGTAGCAGCGTTTAAAAATTAACTATGATTTTCAACTTGTGAGATATTGTGGTCTTTCACCTTTGTTGCACTTGAACGTTACCTTGACAGTCTTTTGTATATTGCCCACATAACTGTTACATCACATTCTAAGCACTTTTTTATAGAAATACTACAACGTCCATTAACATGCCTGAACAATTAGGACAACAAATACAATATCAGCAAAAAAACTGACTACTAGGAAACTCTCACTCTTAATGCATTTATGAGTCCTGCCCCAGGAAATCCATTGTTTTGGTTCACAAAATAAAAACAGTCCATTAATGTTAATGAAGGTTCAGTTAAATAATCGAGAGGCCAGTTGGAATAACCAGAGCATGGTCAGATTGAACAGATGAACAGCCGAAAAAACCCTTACATTGTACCCACAGGAACTGATGTGGTGTATAGGCTTTAAGCCAGCATCTAGATCACCAATATATTCTCTTGGTGCTGGAGTCCTGCTATGTCTTTTGGTTTTCACTACACCTTGGATTTTTTTACATCATTTTAATTACATAGACTTGACAGGGCTTTATAACCAAAATTACCAGGTCCTAACAGACTGAGAATGAAAAGTTACCCATAAAACCCATATCTGATTACCTATAAGGTTTGGGGCCCATAATGGTACCCATAAGGTGTAAGTGCAGCCTGTCTAAACTACGAATGAGAAGCACCAAACTAGGCTGTACTCAAACTTCCAATTGTTATAAGGTCTTAGCGGTAGATATGTAATTTCATTAAAATATCTCCTGTAAAATGTTTGAAACACTATGTCTTTTACTTAAGATCCAAGTATGAAATTTTAAAATAATTCCTTATATGTCAACAAAAAGACATTTTCTCATTTCCTTATTGCACATTCTGTACGACTTCTGCAAGTATATCCTTTTTCAGATAAGCAATTATGAAAAAGAGTATTTAAAAATACATCAAAACCTAATATTACAAGAACAAAAACAACTGAAAAATTTTAGAACCTGGAGAAGTTAGTAACAAAAATCAAGTTTTCACTTTCTTCAGCTTTTTAAGTTGTTGTAATGGTGATTAGCCTCCACTGTATTCTTTTGGGGGAACAAGTTTCCAAACCCTGTAATAAACCTACTATAAAACATTTTATAAGTTTTATTTAATGAATATATAAATTGTATACATTTTATAAATTCTCTTTATATGAACCATAATATTTTGCCTGTTTAACAAACCACTAATTTGTTCATTTAGACAACAGGAAAATCACAACAGATTTTGGAAGTATACTTTATTAATTCCCCTGTAGCACATTTAATATCAGGTAATCTGAATGGAGGAGGATACAGCCCACTGTAGTGCTGTTTCAGCACACTAAAATACAGTTCAACCCTTTTCTGTCTTTTGATAGTCTTCTGTACAAAACACCCTTTATTCCATTTAGAGATGTAAAAAGCGTTATTGATAAATGATGACATCTTAAATCTCTGCAGTCACCTGTCAAAGGAACAATAAATATCACCTGCAGGACTGACAGTATGTTGTAATTACAGCAGGGTCACTAAAGCTGAAACAGGTGCCAAAAGCAATGTACAGGAGCTCAAAATTCTCCCACTGCAGTAACCAATATTAAAAGGCACTAAAATGTCAGAGGAAATTGGAACATTGAATTCCCACAAAAAAGTAATAAAATTCCCGATGACGTCTCCTTATGCAACTGAACTCCTTTCTTCAAAGAGCAAAGTTCTGTAAAAAAAAAAAACAATGACAGCAAAATTTACCAAAGCTCCCCACCCCCCCCCATAAACTACAAAACAATTAGTTATCAGTTCACCAAATTTATAATAATGGATTCCTATGTATGAAATATCACATTTGACCGTTTCTCAAAAATAATCATACGGTAAATTTACAGCATTAATGCAAGGTTTCATACTTGAAAGTTATGAATATTAAGAAGTATAAAAATTGAAAAAAATATTCAGCATTCACCTGCTACAAGATTACGCCAGATCTCCAACAGGAATAACTTCTTCAGTGACAAAAAATTCAATTGTTTCCTCCTCCCAATCATCAACATTGCTGTCTAGCTCATCTGTGTCCACACCTAATTGGAAAACAAACGGTCAAGTCACAATATGCTTTTTTAGATGTACAAGTAACAGTTACAAACCATTTCATTATTGTCCAACATTCAAATTCACATTTTCTGCTATCACACTGTCCCTAATCTAACAAGTAAAGACATCATTACCTCCTCGGAGCTCCAGGCGAAGAGGTCTCTGCTCTTGGTACATCTGCATAGCCCTCTCACGGTATTTACGATAGTCTTCCATCATTGTGCGTCTTTTGTCAACCAATTCCTGTTCAGGAGAAGACCAGAACATTATGAGCACAGGTAAACTTTAAAGCCCACAGGACAAGATACTACACTGATGGAGAAGAAATGAAGTTTATTTCATAAATCCATAATGGCCCTTACCTTGGAAGCCTTGGATTGACTCAGACGGTCCTTCTGCTCAAAGATCTTGGAGTACTTCTTCAGATCCTTCTTGATGAGCTGCAAAATTAAAATACTTTAAAGTAATAGTCAACTATCTACATGGATAATGTTAATTAAATCCACAAAACACCAAACCGTGGGTAAATGTTGGTTTCCTTCCATATAATTACTGCTAAAAAAGGCTAGTATTTTATTCTGAAGAGAAACAAGCAAGGTTTAGGTTTGCAACACCATTGAGTTATATCCTTAAATTTCAACAATATCTTACTTTAATCTGTTCCTGGCTGAGCAGTGTGGGTGGACGTGGCCTCCACAGCAACTGACAAAAGCGATCTTTATTGTTTTTCTGGAGAAGACGCCCCTGGAAAGTCCATAGCCAGAACGCATTGTCGACCTGAAAAAAGCCGGGAGTTAAAAATTACATGGTAACACATTTTCTGCATTAGCTATAACAGCCTGACTATAAGAATGGAGATTGATCCGAGTGACCAAGATAGAAATGTTTTTAAGAAAGACTTGTTTAAATGTGCCTAGAAAAAATAAAATAGCTCATGAGGTTTTTAAAATTTATCAGAATCAAGATCTACCACTCAAACATGATGAAGTCCCACGTTCTCCAGATCTAACTATGTCTTGTTCAACACAGATGTGAGAAAAAAGATGTTTCATGCCTTATGACTCCACCATGAAACTGAAGTCACAACGTATCTCCCTGTTGGGTCCCACTCCACATCGGAAGCCATGTAATGCTCTGCAATGTTCATCATGGTGCAGTCTGATGTGTCAACAAATGCCAGAGCACCATTCATGCTGCAAAGAACAAAAGACCAAAACAGGGCTACAATTAGACATTATTTCAAAACCCCTTACTTATCTCCATTACTTAATTGTGGCTTAAGAAATAATTCTAAGAACAGGTTAAAGGTATTTAGCATTTGACTCTTCCAATTCTTCCAAAATATCCTGATGAACAGAAGAAAAGCAACACCCTTAAGTTAATGAACAAACTTAAGTTAATGTTGTAAGAAATACAACAATATCAATACGAAAATATTACAAAGTTAATAAGTTGTTTAGTGTATGGTTTCTCCAAACACTAACACAATTAAGTCCCATTGGTCTTGGGTCAGCAGAAAGGGTTGGCCACGGCAAGACCTACAGATCTTGTGAATTTGACAAATGTGGAGGTCCTGGGCCAGTATAGTGACTCTGTTGTCCACGATATACCCTGTTTCTTGCAGAAGTAGTTTCCTGGTTTCTCAGGACTAGTGCAGAGGCTTAGAAGGTTGAAAAAGAACACCATGTTCTCCACATAACATCTCACCGATAAGCTGTTCTAGCATTAAAGTAAAAACATTTAACGATTATACAGTTTTGATTCTTAATCATTCCATAATGATCATTTTCATTCACCTTTAAGACCAATCACTTAACCAAAGAACGATACAACTCAAACATCAACTACATTATTTAAAATGTAAACAACTATCTACGTAATGAGGTATTAATGTAACAATTATATTGATGAAGAAAGAAAACATAAGTCTATGTGGCCAAAAGTAATAATTGTGACAAAAGATATTGCTATGTAATACAGTACAATAATGACAAAAAAAATATTTTTACAGAGATGAAAGATCTAATTTTAACTTCAGATCTTACAAAACACTAATTATTTTGCATTTTAAAGAATTACTTATTTTCTTATTAGGTTATTAGCTTTTGTTACTTGACAAACGCACAATTTAGACTCAAGGTGTCCTAGACTTTTCCTGTGATAAACGAACTCAATGTCACTGGAACATACTTCGTACTACTGTTACTAAGTTTAACAAAAAATGCCACAAAGAACAGAGATACAAACCTCCTAAGTCCAGCCAAGACAAGGAACTGTCCCTGTGGACTCCAGAAAATGCTGTTTGCCTGCTGCTTGTCAAACATTTCTTTAAAAAATAAAAGCCTAAATTAATAATGGGAATATTGGATTCCATCAATGCAGTTATTTTACAACAAATTCCAACCTATAATAAAATATCAAACATCAAAGACTAGCACAGTGTGCTAAAAACATTTACAGAAAATTAATACGATAAACTTAAAATATATGTAAGCTAAGCAAATAAAATAAAAATACGTATATAAGGATTTCATGTACACAGGGCATCATTTTTATGATCTCTTGTCCATGTGAAAAAGTGTATGTTGTTAAAAATAAAAGGCAATTCAAACAAAGCATAGCACATCACTGCAGCTCCATAAGATAAGATAAGATAACTTTATAAGTCATATACAATTTCTTGCATTAGGAATTTGTCTTTTCGCATATCCCCACGAGACAAACAGACAGGGAGAGAAGTTTGGGGTCAGAGGGCATGAATAGCCATTTATACGGCGCTACAAGAAGAGAAACTTGGGGTCAGAGCGCAGGGTCAGCCATTTATACAGCACCCCTGGAGCAGCTAGGATTAAGGGCCTTGCTCAGGGACCCAACGGAGTAGGATTCCTCTGCCAGCCACATGAACTGAACTGGCAACCTTCTAGCCACAGGTACAGATCCTTAGCCACAGTGCCACAACAATGCATCTTCAGTCTGCCAATTCAACAATTATGTTGAATTCAAGTTCCCCTCATAGATATGTAGGCATTGGGAAACTCCTTCTGTAGGAGAGATGGACATGCTAATACTGTGATATTGTTCTTTCAAAAGGGAAGCAGTTTGGATTTTCCTAATGCTTCTATATTTTTATAAATTGTTCTACTTGATGACTGTTGATAACTAAATATCACACAATAAAATTCTGTATCCACTATAAAAATAACTTAAATTTTAGAACTGTTGTTCTTGAAGCACTGAAACTTTTTTTTACAGATTTTTAAAACGAATGTTCCCAGTGTATGTTCTCACCAGTTCCTTAATTGGGAATGACCCAATAGAATGTTTCTGCACGTTTTGTTCGAGTGTGTGCATCCTACTCTTTCCACTTATGATTTATTGCCATTAGATGCAAATATTGTACAACTTAAGAACTTCCTACTGTAACAAAATGCTTCAAACAGAAACAAACTGAAACTCATAAATCAAATATGATTAAAAGAAAAGTCACTTACTGATAAGTTCGATCTTGCCATTGTTTTTAACATGGTAAAATGATACGTTTATCCTTGGAGATTCTCCGTGCAGCACAGCAAATTTACTGCCATTGGGCTCCCAGGCAAAAGCAATGATGCTCTCTGCAAAAGCAAAACACATTCAACCATGTCTCTACTTTGAATTCTATAAACACGATAAAGCTGTCCAAATACTCACCCTTCATTTCAACAACATCAACAGGGACTTGCTTTTCTCTCATTCTGAAAATTTCAAAGTTGGTCACAACACCCTACAAATAAAAAAGAAAACATTTGCAGGACTATTTGGCTACAAAAGAAACAGCTTAAATTAGTTTTTAGTACTCTTGTGTAATTAAATACAACTATGGATTTAATAATTTAACAGTAAATAGATCCTTTAACACCTATCTAACAGAAATCTGTCTTAATTCTGAAAAAATCCTGAAATATCCTTCCCACATGCTTTAAAGCATTGTACAAATTAAGGATATTAATTACTAAATTATTATCCCATTTTCTTATGCAAAAAAAGATAAGTCAAATTACTAGATTATATTTGAAGGTTTAACAAGGAACATAGAGAGCAATAAACCTACGATAGTTTGAACATTTAAAACCTCCTCGGTTGTCTTCTTATCCTCCTAGTCAACTGTATTAAACTTGTTTTACAATGAGCTGCAAAAACAATTAAAAGCTCCAGTGGATAAACTCCACTGACTATACCTGGGTTCCCTTGGGAGTTCTGTCTACCTTCACACAAAGGTAATCTCCATTCTTCTGCCAGTGCAGTTTACAATCAACTACATTGAACAGATTTCGAACTCTGATCTCCTGCCTGGATGGCAGCTGCATAAGTGTTACTCTTGCAGGAATATCTTTGTCTTCTGGTACCCAGAATGCAATAATATTGTCACCAGGAGACCATGAGAAATCCCTGGAAAGATATGCAAATAACTTAACACACAACATCACTGACATTATTTCACTTAAAAATAATTACAACCAAAAAACGATGTTTTCACAATTACAACATACAAATGGTGGATAAGATAATGGAAACACCACTTCAAGCTGTATGACTTTATAATATGCAGTCAATTGATCTGATGTCTTCCTCCAAGCTCCATGCTGACAATTTTTTACTTAGCCGCCATTTTCAGTACTAAAGCTCCTGACAAATGTGCCCCAACAATCACGCTTCTTTCAAAGTTACAGATGCGCAATATTATATATGATCCTAAGCATGCTGTGATATTATTGGCTTAACTAATCCATTAACCACAAAGGTGAGGAAGCCCTTGTTTTTAATATCATTATTGTGCCTAATTCATTCCATTTTTACACACTACTTGTAGTATTTTTATTAAAAGGCTTCAATTTTTTCTTGCACTTACTTTATCCCACCAATTTTCAAGCTCTTCTTGTCCAACAACCCCATGGACTAAAGAGGAGGAAAAAAATTACATGATTCAAATGGTTATTACTGTTAAGCTTAAAGTGGAACAATCTAGCATTAGGCAAAGTGAAGTCAAAACTACAAAAATGAATTATATAGTAATATTTGATCTTTGATTATCTTAGTTCAAAAGGTACTGAAGGTCGTTTTGTTCATTCAATGATTAAATCTAAAAAAAGGGACTTACAGGTGTTTCATAGATACTGAGTGTGTCTTGTGTCATTCTGGCAAAGAACTTTCCATCATGGCTCCACCTGAAAATAATTTCATACAAAAAATAAAGATTAAAAAAATATTGATTGAAAACTACCAAAATACTTTAGGTCAAATGCCAAACGGAATATTAGGCATAGTCTTAATTTGCATAAGCCCCCTAGTAGTACTGATAAATCTAAGACATGTAGATTATAACACTACTCTCTGAATGCAAAGACTACAATCCTGTTGACTAACAGCAGTGAAATATATTTATTCTTATATATAAAGGCCTTAATTTAAAAAACAAGTATGAAGGCTCTATCAGTTACACTGTCACTAAAAGTAGGTACAAATGTTAACTATTATTTATTTGTCATCTTTAAAATGAATGCTCAAATTCCATTACTAGGGGAAAATAAGGGAAGATAAATAAAGAGGGCAAAAAACTATAATGCACTGCAGCACAAACAAACACAACTCACTTGAAAATTGGCCAGTGGGCTGAGCTCTCACAATGGAAACCCCTCTTCTTCTGCCCAGTCAGAATATCCCAGATGATAATAGCTTGGGGGTCATCTTTTGTGTCCATTAGAGGACTGAATGTAACCATGTACCTGTAATTGAAAACACAATTAAAATCTTTTATGCATATGTGCAGAACAGTTACATAAATTCACATACAAAAACATTTTAAGATCATAGAACCAAAAACGTGAAAACAATCATGTAATAACCAAACAACACACATTTCAATTTAATGCAGTTTCACCTAATGTTTTCACCTGAGGTGGATGCTGCACATTGGTGGTGGTGGAGGGGAGTCCCGATTACCTGTAAAGCGCTTCGAGTGGAGTGTCCAGAAAAGCGCTTTATAAGTGTAAGCAATTATTATTATTGTTTTTAAAGAAGGTGAAGCAGGAAACAAGATGTTACTTTTTTGGCATGTTGTGGTTAGTCTCCAAAGTTCGTTTTGATTCAACTCTGATATATTACTCTACACAAATGAAAATCTTTACTTCCACGTATACAGTTTTCTTTCTACTCCTTTATCCAAAAGATATGTGCAGGCTGAACAAGTTTTTATACGATCCTTGCAGAGAAGGCTTAAAACTGTAGTTTCCTTACACAGCAAACATGCACCACCAAGATTCTTTCCAAAGCTCACAATAAAAACATTTTTATTTTTACGGTCCACCCAGATGTGTAGAACAGCCTCTTTTTGGCTGTAATCTTCTTTGTGATCCTAAAGCATAGCATTAAATTGACATATTTGGGATTTAAAAATGCCTTATGTCCAGCTGTTACCTGTTGGATAAACATTTTAAAAATCCAGAAATAAAAAAATTACTTTAAGAAAAAATCTTGATCACTGTGATAATGATAATGGCAATTCTTTCACCTTTCACATGGTGAGAAGTCAATGAGTTGAACACCCTGATGGCTAAACCTCTGAATCTGCTTGAACTTCTCTCCTCCCCATAAAGCAATACCCCTCTGATGGAATGTAGCCAGATAAGTGCCTTTTGGAGACCAACGAACATAGGTCTCTGTCCAGCGCTGTAGACAACAACAACGAAGAATTATATTCAATTAGATGAATTAAAGACATTTTATTACAGTAAAATGAAACCGATGAACATACATTTCTGTTAGGGATGTGAAAGTACAATATTAGAAGATTGTAGACGTTTTTTTTACATGTTCATTAATGCTGTGCACCACATTAGTGCAAATGCTATCTACATTAAAATGCATCCGAATTGACCTATTTTTGCATATGGAATTCTTATCCTTCTCCACTACTTCTCAGAGTATTTTATTTAAAAATTCCATCTTGGCACAAAACAAACCAAGACTGCCTCTGTGGGTAGACTATGTTACTTATCACATTCAATACTCCAAACTATATTGCCTCCAAAAAAGGTGCCAATGTGAGCATTATATTAATTAAAATGGCCATGTTAAGAACATAAGTACATACACATTAAAAGTTCAGTTCAAGTGGACATGTCTTGGAAGGTCTCCTTTTATGTGACTCTTACTTTATGATGGTCACATGGGCAAAATACAGAGAGTAGTCTTGCCTTTGTAAACTACTTACAGCTCTCTCCTCGATCGTAATTGGTTCCTTGACATCATTGGAGAAAATGCCTGTCCTTTCACCAGCTTCAAAAATCACACTATACTGATCACGGCAGTCAGAATCTTCAAGCCAGTACCGTAGATTCCCCTTAAATTAGAATAATCCAAATTGGACGATCACAAAATTGTTATTAGTCATCAGAACTGATACTTAAATCATCAAATCTTTTTAAATAGATTTAAAAGATGAGATTTGACTGACTTTATGTTTTCCCAAGTGTTTGAAGATGTTAAATTTATGATCTTTAAACTGAACATTAAATAAGCAAACAGAGTTTGCAACAAACTTCACTGCTTTTATAACTTTTTTTACTTTGAGGTCATAAGGCCAGCCACCAAATGTAACAAAATACTTAAATGCTAAAAGAGAAATTAAAATAAAATACTTTTCAGTATAATTTTAATGTTTGTACAATAATTTGCTGGCCTTAATGTGTTAAAATGTGTTAAAGAGGATGGTAGTCTCAAAAGTGCAGCATCACTTACAGATATAACATTTGCAGTGATAACTGTATAGGCAATCCTGAATGATATACACAAATTAGTAATGATACTTACAAAGTCTTTGAATGGCTGTTTTTCAGGGGTTTCCCATTCATCACTGATATTCATGTACCTATACAAAAATAATGCTAATTAAAAAATAGCAACACTAACAATATCAACAAGAGTAGTTCAGGTGGGTAGCTGCGTCTGCATGCGTAGGCTGCAAAGGAACAAGTAATAGGTTTATTCCATGCTGAAAAAAAGAAGAAAGAGAAGAAAGAGAACACAACGTTTCGAAACGTTGTGTTCTCTTTCTTCTTTTTTTCAGCATGGAATAAACCTAATATCAACAAGAGTTTGCAAGTTCACATACTACCTCTAATCAGGTTTCCTATAAATAAATCTCAAAAGAGCATTTACAGAAATGGGGAGATGACTGTTCAGTAATTCTATCCAATCCATAATACCCTTAGTGTTTTTCAATCACATCTCCAGCAGGTACCCATCTGAACAAACTCCCTTGGATGTATCACTTAGAGGCAAAGAAAAAAGCGGAGACATACAGTACACAGTGTATAAATGAAAATAAATTGCTCACTTGTCGAAGTCTGTAAAGATATTGACTCGGAAGGTGTGCTGTTTGTCCAGCTTGTAGCCATCTGCATTTTTCACTGCTTCCAGAGCATGAGCTGGCGATGCATACTCCAGAAAAATGTACCTAAACACAAGTATTACACAAGAGAAATACAATGAAGCACAACTACCTACAAACTTCCCCAGAAGACATGATTTACTTTTAATATAGTCTTACACAACAACAAATCAATAATAGATGTTTGCCTTCAAAATAATTTGTAAGAGCTGTATTATTCCTCAAAGCAAGTTCTTAATAGCTAATAACCTGGATATAAATCTAGAACATACCTGAGTTTAACTTCAAGTCCAAATAACTTTTAATAGCATGAATAACAAAAAACAATCTATACGTAGAATAATTAATCTATATATAATTAATAACTATACCATTATATTAAAATAACTTATTTTGCATACATAAATAATTGCACAGCAGTAGTACACACATTCAGTAGAACCAGACTAAATACAATGAAAATAAAGTTATAAATGCATTAATGAGAATAAATCAATGAGTGTACATACATATTCATGTAGTAAATGTTGAATGCAATTTTTTAAAGAGCAAAATGATAAATATGCAATACAAACCCTTTTGTCTTTCCTTCAGCTTCTGGATAAAACTCATTTGTAATCTTGCCAAATCTTGAGAAAATTTTATGTATGACATTTTTCAATTTCTCTAAGCGCTCTGGTCCAACTTGAGGAACGTTGTCAACCACAATAACCGAGTCAATACCGTCCGCCTCTTGGGGCCTCTCCCTCAGAATATCAGCCAACAGTTCTGAAAAACAGGCAGAAATACAGTTCCAAGAGCAGTACATGTATGTTATCAGTAAAGCCCAACTACAGTTAGTTATTTTTGAGTACACACCCACAAAATGCGAGATCCATGTTTTATTGTAGACAGCATCATCTGTACTTTAACACAGCAGCAGGCTTAATATTTTTTATTTCAGTAATTAAGTTGAACTATAAACGTAATATAGTTCGGCGGTTTATAAAAACACAGTGACATTACTTCCGTTCACAGTTCAATGAGCATACAGTGCTTTTACCAATGCAATTTCAGTAACGATAGATGAGCGCTGCTTATCTTTCATTATAAATATGTAACTAACATCCACTTTTACACCAGATTGGTGTAATTTCGTCATTTTACTCAATTTAATTTTAATTATACATTTCAGTTTAAAAAGTTCCTTAATAACATGTTGGAGTAAAAAACTCCAAAATATTGGTAACACTTCAGAACATTATAAAATAGTCAGGATTGCGTTAAATAAACCTGTACATTATCTGTCCGGTAAAGATCAACTACAGGACGAAAAGCGACTCATTTGCCTATAACGAACATATTGGAATACCGTTACAGAAACTTGCAACGAAATATAAATGTACAATAGACAGCCACCTGAAAAGACATTTCTACACCTTTTAAATATAAGAATAATACATTTAATTTGAAAATTAAAAAAAACCGTAGTAACTCTAATTTACTCTATATATACACCTTGCTGCATACTCAACACTGAATTACTGAGGTCTTTGTTACTATACGACCGAACATTCAATCTATAACGTTAGTGTTACTTAAGAATGTGTTACTCGTGTCCTTAAACTGGTTGCTTTCTTATCATTTTTAACTTATACATCCAGCTGCGACATGCTCGCTTCGTCAATGACTCCACAACCGGGCAGAAACTGTTAAAAATTGAGTGCCTTGAACGGAAATGCACGATTTAGTGCCTTTATTTTTAGGCCGCGAGTTGTACCATCGTTACATTTAACAGTAAGAAAGCTTATTAAATAGCGCTTATTTTTATTTGAGTTATTCCAACCAGGCCGCAAAGCCGGGTGCTTTCCTCCGCTCGATTACCCTGTTCACTGATGTCATCCACAAAATCCTCTGGGTCACTGAAGGATAGCTCTTCACCCTCTTCAAACTCGGCTTCGGCCGCCATGTTCTCCGTATCCCGCATTTAAAGCTTTACCCTTTCAATAGATTTATGGAAAATTAATATGACCAGCTTTTCTATCAAATAATCTAGATATTTGCTCAGCAGGCCATGTGCACGACAACCGGCGCGAGCCAACTTCCAGTGAAAAGGGACTCAACCTTTTCGGAGGGATGGGGGTAAAGATTAACAGGTAGTGTTTTCTAAACACGTAAAACGAAAACACCTATCAAAACCTCGATCTTATAATATAATAGAAATGACAATTTTATTATAATATTTCTAGCATATACTGAAGGTGAAAAAAATGAATACTCTATTAAATATTTCCCCTCACACAATTTGGTTCGTTCTAAAAATGGATGCCTCCAGATTATTTCCTGTTACAGGAGGAAGTGCTTGAGAAATGTAAGAAGGGTTGGGCTTTTCACAAATCCCAAATTCGGAGATTTTATTGATTGTGATGTGTTAGTCATCGTAAATTATGTTAAACTGAGAAACGTTTAAATGTAGAATCTCTATATTTGTTTTATTGTAGAAGTCTGTAACTATCTTTGATTGTTTATGATTAGTAAGGACAGAAGAGCACGTGGTAAAATGAATGTGTGTTGTGTACTATAATTTTCTCTTTAATTTTTGTGAATTCTTATTCTTAACCAAAGTAAAGTTGTAGCTACACGTGACTTAAACACTAGATTGGGATCCCACCCTTCACTTTTCAGACGTTAACGACAATTTTTCGTTGAACGTATATCTACGCCTCGGCGTTCATCTTTGTGTTTGCCACAATAAGATAAGGAAGCTGCAAACTCCGGTATTGTTAAACCCGTTGTGTTTTAATGCGCATAATTACTTTACTGACCCAAATAATCGCATGTTACTGTACAGAGGAAAATAGCAAATGACATTTTATTAGGTCCCTGTTATGTTTAGAATTTGTATTAGTTTTCGATGCGTTTACTTCTAACTCTAAATGGGAAAATAATTCTTATGGCACAGGCATCATCTTACTAATTACTACTATTTACTTAATGAAAAATTGTGATTACTAATAATTCAAGAAATTAGGTTAAAATTAATATTATAGCAAATTGTCATTTAGAGCCCTCAATTCAAAACCTGAAGGTGCTTAAATTCTTATAAGACTCAATTAAGATTATGTGTTCTGAATTTAGATGATTTATAGGAACACGTAAAGGTTTATTCAATGCTGAAAAGAGAAGAAAAGAAACAACGTTTCGGCTGTAGCGCCTTTTTCAGGTGTGAGAGAGGAAAATCGGCAGTTGATAAAGCACAGGAGAACAAAAGCTGCAGAGGAGGTGGGAGCAGGAGAGAAGCAGAGTGGACACTCAGGTGGTTTGAAATTAAGAGAGGTGAACAGAGGTGTGAAGTCAAAACCTGCAGATGAATACAGAGGATTAGAAGGAAACAAGTCTGTCAATGAGAAAAGGGGGAAGGTGTGATCCTAGTTTCAGAATAATTTTGGTTTTGGATGCAATAGGAGATCCGAACTCCCTCTTTGAGAACAAAGATGGAAAGATCAGTATGATCATGGCTGTTAGCGATGAAATGGGAAACTGTGGGCTTGGAGAGATCTTTGATCCTCACAGCCCTGACATGTTCCCTGAAATGGTCTCTCAGTCTCCTTCCTGTTTCACCAGTGTAAATAGCTGGGCATTTTCTTTAAGAGATGCAGTAAATAAATTTGTTGGAGATACAAGATGTCATCTGAGTGATCCAGAATTGTCCAGATGGGCCTTGAATGTGCATGGTATTGGATATATATTTTCAGGTGATGCAGCGAGTTCTGTTGCAGGGGAAGGTTCTTGGTGTGGATGATTGCTGACTGCGGTCAAGAGAGCAGTATACTATAAGGTTAGATTAGGTAGTTGGCAATATGAGATGGCGGGGCGTTTTACGAAAAAATGAGTGCCAGTGGAGGGATCATCCTTTAAGATGTGGAAGTTGTCATTAATGGTCCTGGGGATAGAAAGGGTATTAAGGTGGTTGGGAAGCACCACGGGAATGTGGTTGTGAAGCCGGGAATTCCTAATTGAGTTGATGGTCTGAGGGCTATTTTTGGCTCTGGGAAGGGCCCTGTCAATAATATGGGTGGAGTATCCTCTGTTAATGAAAAAATTGTGCATTTTAAGGGCTTGGTTTTGGAAGTCAGTGTCACTGCAAAGTTGTCAGAACCTGAGAAGCTGTGAAAAGGGGACAGAATTTTTAGTATGTGTGGGCTGAAATGAGCTGTACAGAAGGTAGCTGTATGAGTTTGTAATAGAAGTAGAGATGATTTATATCTGTTATTTTGGGGGAAGTGCACATTATTTAATTGAAAACTTACTAATTAACTTGTATGTTGTTAATGAGAATATTAAAACTTGTTTTCGGATTCCAGATAACCAAAACAATGGATAGTGAATGTGCAGAGCTGCTACCTCTTGTCTGTACAGTTCTTGTTAATCCAAAGCAGTCACTCCCTGATGATACCTGCTTTGAGAAGCTGCTGGACTGGTTTAAAGACCTAACAAAAAAGGGTGAGCTATTGAAACAGACTGAAAGCTGTAATTTTCAAAGGGACTATAATATTCACACTCAATTATACAGTTAAGGGTTTTTTTAAAGGAAACTGAGAGATCAATAAATGTGCACCACTAGAGAAGATTCTCAGACAATCCTCAGTGGAACAATTCAGGTGTTGAACACTTTAATGTGTTAATTAGGTTTAGTCAGCCTAATACTAAACTAGATTGTGACATATTGGTCACGTTTGCAAAGTACAGCTGGCATGAAAAGGGAATATTGATGGCTACTTAATTTGCCAAGTTAGGTACGGTGCACTTACTGGCTTTGAAGCTGCTGGTATTGGCTATTCAGTAACACTAGTAAGTCTAGTTTTAAACACACTAAGATGGAGGTATTATTTTAAGCATAGGTAGTGAATTCATCTTCAGTTATACTTCATTTTTAAAAGTTGAATATATAATATTATGCTTTATTTCTTCTTTTTTAGTATCTGGGGCATCTTTGCTGCAGCACAATCCATGTTTAACTGAATTGATATCCAGTGTGTGTAAATTGAAGACAAATGAACCCACTGTTCTCTCCTTTGTACTGAGACTGGTTGGGATCTTAGCTGCTACTGAAGAGGGATTTTGCTTTTTAGAGGTAAATTGATCAAAGCCACTCTTGAAGTTTTCTTTACATACAATTCCTGGAAGTGTGCTACAGGAAAATTATTTCATACCTAATATATTTCATTTGGTAGCTTTTAACTTTGTGTTCTAAAAGTTTAGCCTATAAAAAACCTTTTTGCTGGCAATATAGCTCTTACAAAGTATTGTAGATAAAATGTAAGACATAATCATCATTTTGGAAGAGGAACTGACTGTGTTCTGCTAACTTTACATACAGCTGTGTTTTTTCAGATTGGAGCAGCTCTAGCAGGAATATTTAAACAGAATATGATATAACTTTTAAATTATAAACTTTTCAGATACTGGCTTTTCAATCTCTCCTGTTTCTCTTGTTGCTTGATTGCCACATGAAAAAGAAACAATGCCTGAAATAAGTAGGCTGAATCTCAGTGCTCAGGGGTTAGTGTTGGCAGTCTTCATTGGAGATATCATAATTAGGATGCTTGAAATGTAGAAATTGAATAGCCTGAATTGTGAAAACTTTTGTCATCTTCAGGAACAGGACATTTTGCACAGTCTCTTTGGAAACCCAGGCCTGACCCACACAGAGCTGTGGGATGAGGCAATAGTGCGCAGTGGGTGGATCAATGGATTATGGAGCATGCTCCAGCACTGGAGGGTTATGCATTTCATCATAATGAACGGTGGGAATTGCACATAGTAATGCACATAAAATTAATTTAACTTTAAATGTAACCATTTTACTCTTTCCCCAATATGTCATTTTACAGCTCCTTTCCTATGAACTTGAAACATCCGAATAATGAAGACATTGTACTCTGTCCAAATGATCAAGTCTGCCATCCAATGACCATTTGTCTCCAAACTAAATATTGGGAAAGCTATGAAATGACATAATTAAATAGGATTGCATAGCAGTGTCTTTTTAATTTAATCATAAGACACCTTTTTAAAAATAATTTTAATTCATACATGCAGATTTTTAAGGTGATAAAATGCAGAATTGAGAATTTTCTGCTAATTTTAATTTGTAGGGAGGGTGTGTGTTTTATTCTAAAATTGTGATGTATTTCAGCATTTTTACATAGACAAAAATGCAGACCTAAAAAAGGTCTGTTAGTTCAGTCAGAGATCTAATAATAATAATAATAATAATAATAATAATAATAATAATTGCTTTTACTTATATAGCGCTTTTCTGGACACTCCACTCAAAGCGCTTTACAGGTAATGGGGACTCCCCTCCACCACCACCAATCTTGAAGAATTTCTAAAAAATGGAGACCTTAATCCTTTCAAAGTTGAAAATTAATTTAGCCAGTGATTAAGAGCTTGCTGGAACGAAAGCCAGAAGGTGGATCCCTCACAAGAAAGACTTAGACTTAGAACCACTTCTCTATCCTCTGTCCAAACTTACAACAGACACAGTTACTCTCTGAGATCCTTTTCTAATCCTCTCTAAGTGTAGACTGTAGATCTCCCCTGAACTCTGGTCACTAACAATATCTAGGATTGTGTGTTTAATTAAATGTGAGCCTTCATTTGGTTCACTTTTTGGGGCAGTGCAGTGGCTCTGTGGCTAAGGATCTGCGCCTGTGGCTAGAAGGTTGCCAGTTCAAATCCCACAGCCGGCAGAAGAATCCTACTCCGTTGGGCCCCTGAGCAAGGCCCTTAACCTCAACTGCTCCAGGGGTGCCGAACAATGGCAGACCCTGCGCTCTGACCTCAAGCTTCTCTCCCTGTCTGTGTGTCTCATGGAGAGCAAGCTGGGGTATTCGAAAAGATAATTCCTAATGCAAGACATTGTAAAGGGTTAATAAAGTGATGTTATTATATATTATTATTATTTTCTTCTGGGGATCCCCTTGAGACTTATTAATTAAGGGGTTTGAGAAAGTTCAAGTAGGTAGCTGCATCAGCATGTATGGGCTGCAATGAAACAAGTAAAAAGTTTATTTCATGCTGAAAAGAGAAGAAATGAAACGTTTCGGCTTCGGAAGAAAACTCCACTTGTTTCATTATGGTGTTTGGTTTGTGAAGTTTTCACATGATATAAGGCCCTCTTGTGTCACTAACTGGTACCGTGCTTTTCTTTTGATTTTATATTACAAATTGTATAATTAGACAAAGAAATAAGCTAGCTTTGAAAAAAAAAATCAGTTACAATGGCAAATGCCTTATATGTCAAATGTTGAGGGTCTGCCTCCCAAACCTAATTCAGTACTTATTTTGCACTTTGGATTGTTCTTTTTTTCACAGATTTTACTAAAATGATCCTGAATTTACAAATAGACAGAAGCCTCTTTGTTGCTTCAGCAGCTAATCAGCTTTTGGCTCACATTTTAAACTTCCCAAAGAAAGTACCTGCACATTCATCTTCAGACAACAGTGATATTTGGCAGAACTCTGTGGCCTGTGAATGTAACACCTATGCTGAACAAACTGAATGGGCTAACTGCAGCATTAAAATTGCACAACATTTGGGAGATGCACTGCATTCTGACATCTCCTTCCACACCCATCAGTCCTTAAGGCTCCTGACTTTGGCTCTGGTACACTGCCAGCCGCAGGTCATGGAAGTACTCTGGCAGAAGACGGAGGCTGCTATTAAGACACGGATGGGAAATGGCCAGATCGTGATGGAACAGCCATTCTTGGAAGTCCTTCTAACTGCATCAAGGTTATTAAACATTCTTTGTCTTCAATTCATTTTTAAAAAATATTATTTTTAAACTGGTTATATCAGAATAGAAAAGGGGGGAGGAAGTGTGTCAATATCCTTGAAGGCCTGGTTTGAATGCATTGTGAGAGGGTACATTGCATTGTTTAAAACAGGGCTAGTTTTTCATTTCTTTCAGTAAAGGAAAAAATTACCTTATTTTTATTTATAGTGTTATGTCTTGTGCCTCATTATGGGAATAAAAAATGATATTTGTATTTTCAGTTATTTTACTGTTGGTTTCTGCTTTTTTTTCCTTGTGTAAAGGGTTAATTTTCTGCACTACATTCTAGTCTTGTAATGAGCTCTGGAGAAGGTTATTTTTTCAGTTGTTAATTTATGAGTGTAATTTGAAGTTTTCAAACTGGTTTTCAGGACTGCTCTCTTGAACAAAGAGGACTCCAACTTGGTAAATCTGATGGATCTGATGCTGTGTACTCTGAACCCCACACAAGCTATTCCCTTTGCTTTAGGAATATTCAAATTAGAAAACTGGTAAGCATGTACTTCAGGACTTAAGTAGACTTAGTGCTTAAAGCTTTAGAGACCTTTTCTTTTTTGCTTGTTTGTTTTTTGTTTTAAAAAGTATCTGATCAAAGTAACAGTTGTTTTGCTTTCTGCAAACAAATATGTTATTCAGACAATTGTATTGCAGCCCACATATTTTGAGGAGCAAGGCCATTCAAGTAATCCTCCAGCCACTAGACTGTATTATGGCTGCAATAGATGAACAACAACAGTCTTCAGGTATTTTCAACACAGTAAAAAAGCTGCACTTTGTTGCATAATCATAATTTCATTTTACTTCAGTACCAGCATATTAGGAATTTAACAATCATTGTCACTTTTTTTTCCTCTTAAAAGTTTTGGAGGGTGGATTTGTTCTTGAAAAATTGGCTACAAAGAAGCAGCTGTCCCAGAAAGGATCCTGTTCATCTTTACTTTGCCTTTCATTGTACCACACGGAAGAGCTGTTATGCATGGTAAGTTACTTCTACTGCTTTAAAGCAGTTATTTTATTTGTGACATATGTTTTCTTGGAATAAATAAATTATTGGTGTGTTACTGTGATGTTTCCATCCTACCTTTTTGAAATCTTGTAAAATATGAACAGAAACTTTTTTTGTGGGTGCTTCCGAATAGCTCAACTGGTAAAAATACCAGTATAGAGGTATTGAGCCACATTAGCTAACTCTGCCTATACCCTAAGGCAGTGGTTCTCAAACTTTTTGGACCACCCCTGATCAAACCAAAGCATTCAAGTACCACCTACAAGTCATCTTCTCATAGGAACCACAGAAATCTGAATGACCAATATGAGCGCGTTTATTAGTTAAAAAAGTTTCAAAAATCCAGTAGATTTCGTTCCACTTCACAATTGTGTCCCACTTGTTGGTGATTCTTCACATAAAATAAAAAATTTATATCTTTATGTTTGAAGCCTGAAATGTGGCAAAAGGTTGAAAAGTTCAAGGGGGCCGAATACTTTCGCAAGGCACTGTAGTTTCGGTGGCCAATGGGGTTACCATAAGTCAGGATTTTCACGGACATGTCCTCCATTTTGATCCTTATATTTTTGTCTGGGGGGAATTTTCAAATATCCAAAAATGTCCAGGATTTCAACCACTTTATTTTCACCATGAAAAATAATTAACAAAAGTTTTAAAGATAGTAGATGAGGAGGTTAGAAAGAGAGTGAGAGAATTTATTAACTTCTCTAGTTCACTTCGCGACCTACGTTCTAGTTCAGTTTTCGTCCTGCACATGTATGATTATGTAATGAAAGCGCGAAAATGGGTGCCAATTTTAGTGTCTTTACCCAGTCTGTGCAGTGCAGAAGCATTCCCTCGAGAGGCTCCCTATATTGTTTCTTGTTTTCCTACCCTCAAACACAATGCCAAAGTGAAAGTGTAAATTTAAGTGTTTTCGAAATGGCAGAAAATGCCACTTCGAAAACAGAAATGTATTTTTCCGTATACCAAGTTTACGTCTTGAGAAGCTGAATATTTGGTGTGTAAGCCTGGTGCTTTTGTCTCAGTGGCAATTAAAGGTGTACTTGACTTGCAAGCTCATGTTGACTCAGACAAACAGAAAAAGGCAATTCGAGGAGAGAGTTGTCAACCAAATTAACAGATTATTTTGTAAAATCTGGCAGCAAAACAGGATACTGTTATTGCGGCAGAAGAGATTTGTGCATTTCACACAGTTAAACATCACAGTTACTTTACCAATGAACATAAAACGTGGGATATTTTGAAAACCCTCTCCATCCCAATCCCTTTCCCAGACAAGGCAATAGGAAAGTTCCTCAGGGTATCCTCTTTTTTTTATGTTCAAATATGGTAACTCTAGTTGCCGATGTATAATCCTCATTCTCAATGGGAGTGCATGATCTATCAGAGCTGGAGTTAGTACTCTTGGTGTCTATTCTTTTCAGCCATGACATAATACTTGATTTTTGCTAGTTATTCATTTTTGATCACTTTTTCTGTTGGTGAATGTGGCACTAAGATGTGTCTCTGAAAGATTGAGAGGAGTATGAGCACTCAATTATTAGCGCGCACTGTATCAACATAGCCAAGTACGTAGGCTGCGTATTTGACACAAACTAATTTTATTAAAATAGAAAATATAAAAACCCATCTCAAGCTTTCTGAAACCGATTAAGTAAATCACAGATTAAAAATTTGCATAATTTTTAATTATTCAGTTTTTAATTTCCAATTTTTCAGTGCACACAGCAAATTTCCAGGGTCATCTGGCATACCACAGTTTGAGAGCTAATAGGCCTTAGGGCAATGGCTAGTTATAACAGGGATTCCACAAGTAACAATATACATCTGGCTGTGTGTTACTTGGGATAAATGGTATTGAAACAACTTAGGCATCCTTGATTCAACTGTGAGCTTCCAGTGTTATCACAGAGAGCTGCATCTGTCCTCTCTCCAACAAAAATGTGTTTCTTTCTTGTGTAAGGGCAATGGTTGTTGCAGAGAGATGAATTTATTTCTTGATAACAGAGGGGTGATACAATTTTAATAATGATCTTACATCAATTACATCAAATCTCTTAAAACATTATGTATGTCCAGCCACTTGAAAAGATGACTTTTCTGAAAAATTATCTTTAGTTCTGTGTGTACAGGACACACTGCACCTGGAGGTTCCAGGCAAGTCCCTGTTCTGCTCTGTTCTCACAGTGCTAAGGGCTTGCATTGGAATGGCACTCCCCTGCAGCTCAAAAAACAGCAACATCTTCAAAAACTTGATTGGCTGTACCAAGGTCCAGAAGTCGGCAATGGATACACTGAGCAGGCTTGCACAGTGCTCAGGTAATGCAGTACGAACATGATCAGTAACCAGTTTAAGAAATGTTGATCTTAACCTTGTCAAAGTAAAGATTTCCCAGTTTTACTGGTTTTACAGTTAGCCTGTTTTTTCTCCTTTTTTAGGAAGCAGTGAATTTTTGAGTGAGGCTTTCTTGGTTCTTCACGAGTATCTCCAAAATTCTGACACGGATTCCTCAGTAGGAGTCAATTTCTTGTTTTATTTGTATACTGTATACAGTGTATCACACTGTTTGTGTCTGTTTGAAATAATGAGCCTATTCTTCCCATTTCAGGTTCTCACAAAAGCTATGCAAGCCGTCTTAAACTGGTTGTTTTGCTGTTCTGAAATACCATTAACTTGGTTGTTTCTTAAACAAGGTAAAATATATAGGCTATACAGAGGATGATGATTTCATAATGCTAGATTTATATGGTTTGCAGAGACACTTTAATCCTTAAACTATGTTAAAGAATAGTGTTACAACTGGGGGTTACAAAACTAGTGAAAATCTAGAATAGAACGAGCGGTTTAGTCAATCAGTGAAATAATTATTCATAACCCCCAACTTGTAAGTCATTTCTAGAAACATACCTGAGAGGTTGGTATAATTGGAGGCACGTGAATTCTTTCGTGAACGTGAAAACACACAAGTTACTTTATGTACAGTATTTAGAAAAAAGGCAAACGCCTATCATTCTGATCACCCAGAAAACCCCAGACTGCTACTAAGCATTTAACTTTTAATATGCTTACAGAGGCCACACAAGAGATGAGCTGCCTTCTGACTAAATACAATGTAATTTGCAGTTAAATCTCTCTCTGCACCCCAGATGCCACAAAATAAATGGGAGCCTATATCCCTATCCATAAAAATGTACCCTAAGCAGGAAAGATGATTCTAACTGAGGTATCTTTTACTCAGGAAACTCAAGTTCCTTGAAAACACAGAAAAGCACACTCTCTCTAACAAGGTTCAAATACTTAGCTCCAGTCAGGTTTGATTTGGATGATCAAAAAGTAGGGGCTCTCGTCTGGGGCAAGCTTCAAGTCCCAACTCCTCTGGACTCCTCTCTCTTCTCCCTGTTTCTTCCTGCCCTCTTTTCTCTCTCCTGCTCTTCATGTGATCTTATACTGTGTGTGTCTGGACTGCTCCTAGCCAATCATTAATCCAGCAAACATCCTCTCTCCTTTGAAGTTTGAAGTGTTTACTCTTCCCAGTGTCATGGACTTGACCTAAGATCTAAGAGACACTTCTGAGTCACCTAAAACTGTAACAATATTATTAAGAAAATTCAAGTTAATATAATTGAGAAGAATTGGAAATGTGAAAATGACAGCCTTACATTTTAATGTAAATGGATTACATGAATTAAAATAATTTTGTAACGGATGAAACAAAGAATATCTGCTAAATTAATTGAATTAGAAGTTAAACATTTAGTTCTTTTTAGTTGTACATAGCTTTTACACCTACTGTTACACCTGCGCTGGCTAACCTTTGTTTGCGCTGACACTGATTTAATTTACCCAGATCTGTTTTCGGTGTTGGAGAAGCGTCTCTGTGATGTTCGATGGGAGGTTAGAGATTCAACCCTGGAGTTTTTAACTCGGCTTACCATACAGTTTCAAGGTGAGCTTCGTACACTTCACCGGGATTCATCTGCATCTTTATTGACCTAATGAGATCATACTTTAAGTTAATCTTATACAGATTCCATTATTATAATTTCCAATAGGTTCAAGAGTGTGCCTTCTGTTCAAGTTAGCATTAAAGCGGTCTATCAAAATGCTGTTGTGTATAACTAACTTAATGCACTCAACAGAGGGGCTATTAAGAATCTTCATGTTCTTTATAGATCCCTTTTTTTAATATCATGAAGATTAATTTCAGCTACAGTAAATAGTTGAAATTAAAAAGTCCTGAATAATCTTGAATATTAACTCTTTTTTTAATTAAGACAAAGGGGGATTTCCTGCAATCCTGATGAGTACTGGGGTTCCTAGCCTCCTGCATTCTTTGCTGTCTGACCCTGAAAGTTATGTGCGAGCAAGTGCGATCTGTGCCCTGGGACAAACTTCCTTTGTCATGGGCAAAGAAGAGGACATGAAATCTGTCCCTGGAGTGCAGGTGAACCATAATTTCAGCAGCCAGTTCCGTATCTATTGTTAATTAATATTATTTTCCAATTTAATACAGTAAAGCAGGTGTTAATGTTTTTAAATAGTTTGGTTCAAACTTAATAATACACTGATAAGCTGTGATATCAAATGAAGCACACTGGTATCTTTACAAATACTTTAAGTGAACAAAATTGTGTGCTTGTTATCGTTTGTTTCATGATGCTGAGGTTTAGGTTTATTTTCAACATTACATTTCTTCTTTCCTAGAAGGAGCTTGCATCACATTTAGTGGACATATTGGCCAATGACACGGAGTGCTTTCCCAGAAGGGCTGTGGTCAGAGTCTTCTCTAAGTGGCTAAAGCACCCATCCCAACAGCCAATTCAGCATTTGGAAAAAAATGCCATTACTGTGCTAGATCTGGGCAGCAACGACTTAGACTGGGAAGTCAAAATTCACACACTAGAGCTTGCAGAAATTTGGATCAGTCAGACTCTGGCAAAACCTGTTTTGTCATGTTGTCCTTACACTGTGGCTTTGCCCACACACTCTGTCTTGAGCCTTACCGAGTCCATACAGAAGCTTCTTGATTTAAAAATCTTTGATGTTCTCTTTAATGGATTGTTTGACTGTGATAGGCCAGTGGCACAGAAGGCATGCTCAATTCTCTTGTCACTGAAACGTGTTATCATTGAGGATAGCAGTTTTACACGTTGCACTTTGACCTATGACCTAAAAGGACAACAGTGGGCAGCAGATACACTAACAAAATACTTCTCCAAAAGAAGTGAGTCTGTCCATGTCAGTACAGATCAACAAAGACAACTTGGCATTGTGGAAGTTCTTTCTTCACTGGATTTGGAAGCAATGCAGCAAACCTTGGGACAGAGTAGTGACCACATAGAAAATAGCCCTCGTTCCCTCCTGAAAGACATTCTAGCAGCTACTCACACTACAGCGGACAATGCTGTGGACTGTTACTAATTTAATCAGTTTGCAATTTTTTCTGTAATGTCAAATAACTTATATTTTTATATTTCTGTTTCTATAATGCATTTGATCATGATATGCCTCGTGTTCTGTTCCCTTCACAAAGTATATGTCTTCTCAGGAAGTTAGATTTTTTTATCTGTATACAAGTTTCAGATCATTTTAGAACATAAATCTGGTTGCTTATAAATGCATGGATTTGTATATTTTTAAAGTAACAGTAAATGTGTAGTTAGGCAGTGTTCATAAGCTGTCTATTCTCTGCATAAGCCACAGTCCAAGTTAATCGTGAGATATATTGTAAGAGTGCATTGCTTGTATTGTATCTCATGATCTGTAAGAGAAAGTGTGGGGAAAAAACTGGTAGGAGACAGTTAACGTATGTCTGATGGAGCACACAATAAAAGAAGTAAGTTTTCAACAACTTGGTTGTGTTGGACTTATATTTATCGCGACAGACTATAACACACATTGATTAGCTATTTCATTGCCCGTCATGTTTGTTATATATAAAGGGGGTGGATAGCATTAACTAGATTAAATTAATCATATCCACTGTTATAAATAGACAATAAATACAGTATTAAAAAACTTATAATTGAATTACATTTCCCAGAGCTTTTTCAAATGGGACAGTTTATTGTACAGACCATGCTCTTCTAACTGTAGGTTTATGTTGTAAATACCGATATCCGATTAAAGATATTCATATAACCTCTGTCCATTATCCAAGCACTGGATAAAATCTATACTTGAATATGAACTTTACTTTTACCAATGAATTTGATTCACCATAGTCCAACCTGTAACTATTGTTTCTCATTATATTTGAACTGGACTATAAACAAAGATTCTTTACAGGAGAATTTCAGCATTTATATTACAACACATTAGATGTATGGATGTCCTAATATTGTTGAGCATTCTTAATTATGCATTGGCATTTGTCAGTTTGATTTGAAATGCCAAATTGTAGCTGAAGTGACTGGAATTTAAAGTTCAACAGCATCACCTGGTAACCAGATATCAATTGACAAAAACCCAACTGTGCAGTTTGTTGAAAGTATCCATCCATCCATTATCAAAATTCTGTTTATCAATTTTAAAGTGGGATTAAATCCTGGGTTGTTGCCACATACAATTTAGAGACAACAGTTAATCTAGCCTACAGTATGTCTTTGGAAGGTAAAAGGTAACCGGTGCATCTGGCAGAAACCCATAGAAAAGTCTGGATTGGATCTCGGGAGCCAAGAGACATAAAACTTGGTTCCTGGGTAGGTCATAAAATTAAAGACATTTGTTTTTGACATACAGTAGTTCTTGTCCTAACAGATGACATCACGTTAAAAACTGTGTTGTACAGTAATTTCGTTTCAAGTTACCCATCTTGACATGACTGAACACCGATATTTAGTTTTATGTGTACCATAAGATTAATAAATGCATCCGGTCAATACGCCAGTAAAACGCAGCCTGCTCAAAGTGTGGTTTATGCGGAAAAACGGATTGCGGTTTTTGAATCTGATCCGTAAAATTTAAATTTAAGGGAATTTCTACATCTGAGATGTTCTATCTTGGATTTGAGATTGGCGTTTTTGAATAATACTGTAACGCTTACGGCCGACAGGCACTGTGTAAGAGCCGGCGTACCAGAGCGGGTGACGTCACCGCCCTTCCCTGTGATAGCAGGACCACAGCTACTGGGCTGTGGAGAGATCTCTCTTTAGCTCACGGGGCTAGGTCACTGCAGAGAGACGCGGAAGTCCCGGGTTCGAGCCTCCAGTCGGGATGGGGCCGACCAGATGCGGCAAGGGCGCCCGCCTGAGCCCCCGTTGCGTTACAATACTTTTAGTAAAAAAAAACGAAACTATTAAAAGTGATTTGGTATCGGCCATTTACTAAAACGGCATACATTATATATTGGTATCTTAATAAACACTCCACTTCAAAAACACCGAGCTTGGGTTAGCTGAATAAAGATGGCTACTTCACATTTCGAGGATATGTGGTGCAGAGGCTGTATAAAACACTTAGGAATGTCGGAGATCGCTGTAAACAACCTACGTATTTACTAATAAAAGCGCCTGGTCTGCGTTTTCATCAACAAGATCACCAGAGCTCTTTCAGTATTCTGAATGTTCTCGTGACGTCCGACTGAAACCTCCTGATTTTTTAGTGCGGCTGTAAATGTTAGACGTTTTATTCGTTGCCAAGAAGTTGTCTATGATTATTATGATACAGGTAAGGCATCCGTAAACCAGAGAGGACAACTCATACTCGTTCACGATTGGCGTTGCAGATGTGAGGTACTGCATATCTGTATATAATATACAGTATATATATATAAATGACGAGGGGAAAGTTAAAAATGACTAAATCTTAGAAACTCGGTACTACTGTTTTTGTTACTATAGCAATCATACTGCAAGCTTTTCGCGTTACAACGTTTGTGTGGTACAGTATGTGTTCATGCAAGCTGGTCTTTAGGTATCTTGAGTGCATTTTGTTCGCCACAAAAACGCCAAGCTTGGGAACTTAACTGACAAGGATTTTGTTCAATAGCATCTGATTATGACTTTATTACATCGCCAGCTGAATTAAGTACTGCTTTTTGTAAAAATTCAATAATTGGGTATCAGAGAAATTAAAGTGCATAAAGAAAATAATTTGCCTTTGGTGCAAAGTGAAAATATGTTATGTGAAAACAAAGACTTTTACTACAGAGGTATTGCGCTAGACACTGGCGGTTGTTAATTTAAAAGTAAGATATTTTATTTGCATGAAACACCTCATTTCTCCCAACAGAGACACAGTAAGGCGTGATTTTAGCTTTATGCCTAGCACTTCACGAGTTTGACCGCATCCTAGCACATACTGATGGTTAGTTTTTAACTGCACAGAGGCTTACTGAAATATTATATTAAAATATTCTTATATTATTAACGGAATATTTCTGTTACTTCTGTGAAATACATTTCCCATTTTTAATATTTTGCTAAACCACATCCTGATGGATGAATAAAAGCCAGTACATGGCCACTTTCACTCCAGATGTACTGTAGTAAGATGGAGTCTTTTTGGTCCTCTCTCTCTCTCTCAAAGACATATTATAAAATATTGACATAGACTCTCTCTCTCTCTCTCTGTGGAAGCTTCTTATTGTTTTCATCTAACATTATTGGGACTTTGCTGGAGTCCAGGGGAACTTGCACAGGACATTTCAATGTGAGTCAGATTCTGGAAGTTCTTGCCAAGTGTTTGAGTAACTGACATTTGTCATCACAAGCTCATAGAAACATTCATACTGAATCGTTTTGCTTGTGGTGCCATCATTTCTCTTTCACTAAACAGCAACAATTCCAACAAACAGGATACTCCAGGAGTAGATTTCATGAAGTGATGAGTAACTCATAAAAAATATAAGAGTGCTATACTGGATAATCTTTTTTTGGTCCTAAGGAAATAGTTGCTGTCTTGCAACATATTGCATGGACTCAGTAAACATATTTTCTTTTGCACTTTGCATTCAGATAGCATAGTAAAATAAGCTACTAATACATAATATTATAAATATAATTAAATATAAATGAAAGTATGGTTTTGAGAAGTGAAAAGATTTGCTTTGGCGAAAAGCATGTTCTGTACACTACTCATATCATAATTGATAAGACTGTATCGGTAAATTGCTGATTAAAAGAATTTGACAGTCTGTGGGTACATTTTAATCTGATATGATGTTTAGGAAATATATAGTTATCTAGGATGACAGACCAGGAAAATACTTTTTTTCTGCAAGCCATTTTCATGTGATCCTTGGTTAAGCAATCATGGTCTAGAAATGTCTCTTGAAATGTGGTTATTCAGTCCCTTGCAGTGAGCAACCAAACTAAATGCATCTTCTTTCAGCTGACATCTGAAAATCCATGTAATACAGAATGCTTCAGCACAAACAGGGCCAAGAGTTTTGTTTCGGACCTCAAGCTTTGAAAGAAGCTCTTATCTCTACCAATGCTCACCTGAAGGATCTCTATGCCAGCACATTCTCCACTGCAGAGAAATGCTTCTTGTCTGAGGCTTACAATCCAAATAGAATCGTCTTCCAGACACTACTTATAAGGACTGCTTTTGATTGGCTTATCAGTCGTCCTGAAGCCCCAGAAGACTTTGAGAGCTTCTATAACTCTGCTCGCTGGCGCCAATGCACCACTTACAAAAGAACCATCTACATACAGCCAATAGGTAAGACAAATTCAGTGTTATTTTTTGCATTCAGGTTGATGTAAATTGAAAGTGCTGAATATTCTTTGTACACTATTGCTTGGCTTTCCCACACGTTTGGCTTAATAAATTGGTGTTACGATCCCTGCTTCCCGGCAACGGAAGAGGCAGAAGAAGGCATAGCCCAAGTTCAATTAGACAAATTATAAGAGCACGTATTCACCACCCTACCTCCCTCTAATCTTGTACTTAAGCAAAGTTTTTCCCTACCTGCTCGCTCAGTATTGGTTTTCAGTTTGAGCTACTTTGTTGCGCTACACCTTATTCCTCATTGTTACTTTTTGGTTACGGACTCTTGGTTCACTCCTTTGATTACGGCTTTTGGATTACAGCTTGGCTTCAGTAACTTTCCATGGTTTCCCCTTTGGACTTGATTTTGGTTTGCAGTATAGATCTCCTTCAGGGTTATATTTCAGCTCCCGCAAGTGGGCTCATTACTTGGTTTCGGTTTCATTGGCGGAATCTTTAACAATTGGACACTGGTCATTATATTAGTCACTGGCATTTATATGAACCTAATTGTGTATAATGACAGAGATAAAAATAGGAAGCCTTTAGATCAGTGGTTCATAACCTTTACTGCAACCTGCACTGCCTTGGTTCTCAAAATCTGTTCTGTGCACCCCGATCAAAAATCATTTACGTAATTTGTTTTTTAATTATTTACTTTTGAAAAAAAATATGGAATGTCTCGAATCCTTAGAAAAGGGTCTCTCGCAACCCTAGGGGCGTGTGTTCACCCCAGGTAAAGAACCACTTGTTTAGATAATTAAAGGAAAATGACTGATGCACTAAATAAGACTGTATTTCTCTCAATTGCTTACCAAATAAAAAATCAACAATACGCCTAAGGCTGAGGAAATAATTTTACATTAAACAATATTAGCATAAAAGAACTTGAAACAAATGTCCATGACATGATGGCATTTTAGCAATTGTATTTGAAGAAATAAGATTTTATTCACCTTGCTTTGCTTTTGTTGCTTGCCAGGACAGGTTCTGGCTTCCCTGTGACCCTGAATTGGAAAAAAACAACTAGAAAGTGAATGGAAATTTTATGGAATTATGACATTTTTATTTTTAGGACACTAACAAAAACTCAACAGTCATTCAAAACAACCAGTAACATCCATTTTATGGAAAACTTTAATGGGAAAGTTGCTAATGTACGTTACACCCATTAAATATGTTGCAAAAGTGAACCACGTAATTATAGGCTTGCTTCTATTATGTGTAAGGTCATGGAAGCTCTAAATAACTCAAATTGCAGACAGTAAGCATCCTGTAAAAATACGTGTATTTGGATTAAGAAATGATTCATGGATAGAAAACAGAAAACAATTAAGAAGTAAATGCTCCTCATTACATCAATAGTATTGATGTTATCAGGGGAATAATACAGCTAATATATTAAGACCACTGCTCTTCCTATATTGTATCAATGATCTAGATTTGGGACAGTTAGCAAACAAATCAAGTTAACAGATCATACCAAAATACTGTAGGAAGATTAGCACTGTAGTAGCTACAAAGGAAATTAAAAAAATGTAGATAGGGTCCAAGATAAACTTTTGGCAGATGGCACTTAATGTAGTGTAACACAGTGAGCCGAAGTCCCGATAATAACCACTAGACATCCTGAAATGACCAGGAATTCTGTTCACTTCTCACCTCTTTGACAGCTGCACCTCTTTTGACAGAATGCAATTATTGACAGTTTATAGCCAGCAGCTGCTCCCACTCAGAGGAGCAGCGACATAAGATGCCCACGCGGACGTTAGTTCATTCATTTTCAGAACCCTGTCACTCTCAAGCTTGGACACAGTCGTTCTCTGTATATCAAATGAGATTATATCCATCTCTCGAGCCTTACAAGCTCGCCTGAAGAAGGAAACGTTTTCTTTCTCAAAGTGACCTCATGCTGGTCTTCTGTCTCCCTCGATATTGATAAGAGATATTGATTTGAACCAGCAATACCCACAGTTCCATTCAAATCCTCACACGTTGACATTTTTGATGCCCAATGTGGGGTTGCATTGTTCACGAGGTCAACATGACCATGTTTCTGTCCTTGAGGAAGCCATTCAGACCGTCATAAAAGTCTGTTGTCACACAGCAGGAGGCCAATATGCTACAACAGAGGGCTCAGGAAGTTCTCCAAACACAGTTGTCCATTGTCCAGGAGACAACAGCAGCTCAGACTTGTTACCTTCAGGAACAGGTAGAAGCATCTATGATATGTGGGCCGAAACTTGAACCTTTTAACTAAGGGACTGGGTGATGTTTTTACTACTGTAAGATGACCAGGGGAAGGGTAATTTATAACCGGTATTTCCAGAATGAAACAACGAAACACTTAATATACTTGATATAGACCTGAGCAAAATGGCCACCAAGGAGAACCAGCTGACCCGCTTTTGGAAAAGGCCTATGCAGCGAAACAATGAGACACAGGTGAGCCACATCAGGAAACAAAATATAAATGCCCCGGAAGCAGTGAGCCAGCGCGGAAGCCGATGAGGTGAATGTGTTTTGGTGGAAGAGCAGGAGTAAGATTGTGTTTAAAGGAATTAAGGTATAACGGACTAACGAAAGGATTACAGATTAAGATTTATAGTTTGCAGCTTGGATACGGAGTGGATTTTTGTGGATATATGGTCTTTGGAATTTGGATTGTTTAAGGACAGAGAGAACGGATTATGGATTGGGATCAGCAAATAATCGGACAAAATTAACGGAGAAGAACCGTGTGGTGTGAGTAACATCTTGTTTACACTAACTTTTCCCCCGGTGACACCACACTACCTACCTAATTTACACAGAGTGTAAATTATAAGACTGCTGGCAAGGTCCCTATAAGGGAGTCAAAAGGACTGGGCCGATGTAAAATAAAATATATCACCATAGACAAAAGGAAAACATTTATCACATCAACCTATTAAAACTTTGGCGAGACTATTCTTTAGAGGAGGGGACCACAGCCCACTGCTTCTGCATTTTCACTTGCTCAACAGATGCTTCTAAAGTGCTTTCTCCCAATCTCGCTCCAAAAGAGAGCAAGGAAGCTACCGCATTACTGCATCGTAACACCACTGTTTTCTCTCTCCTTCCCTGGTGCACACACCTCATTCAACACTACATTGTAACGCCCCTGGAGTATTTGCAAGCCTTTCCCCTTATTGTATCCCTGAAGGCAAATGAAATGAAGTCTGTTGGAAGGTCCAGAAAATACTGGATCTTGATATAATCGAGGAAAGTAATAGCCGTTAGTCCAGTTCTAGCGTCCTGGTACCAAAACCTGATGGCTCCTGACTTCAGGAAACTGAATGAAGTCTCTTGTTTCCATGTGCAGTATATCTGATGTCTAGTGTCAATCAGCTTCTGAGAGGTTGAGGAAGCCAAAATCTCTTGCAACCCTGGACTTCACTAATGGTTATTGGCAGATCCCCCTCTTGGAAGAAGCCAAACCTACAACTGCCTTTTCTACACCCACCAGTCTGTCCCATTACAATGTCCTGTCCTTCAGTCTCCATAGTGCTCCAGCCACCTTTCAAAGAATGACGGATCCCCTCCTTCGACCTCTGCTTCAATGCCTCTGCCTACTTGTGATCTTCACCAAGGCCTGGGATCCTAACCTATTACAGTGCTTGGGTGTATTCTTGTCACCAGCTGATGACGGCCCGCACATCAATCCTGCAAAAAGACGCTTCGGCTTCACACATTACTTGACTATATTGTGGGAGGTGGATAGGTGAGACCCCAGGTCGACAAAGTCAAGGAAATCCGACACTGGCCAGTTTCCAAGACCAAAACTCAGGTGAGAGCCTTCTGGGGTCTGGTTGGGTATTACATGAGATTCATCCCATAATTTGCAGAACGGGCAACCCCTTTGACTGACCCGACCCACCATTCTGCCCCGAAACTGGTGTGCTGGGCTCCGGAATCTGCAGATGCTCTCGCAGACCTGAAGCAGACCCTTTGTATGGACCCAGTCCTGAAAGTTCCCGACTTCAATCAGAGTTTCATCCTGAAGACTGATGCTTCTGAGAAAGGGCTCAGTGCCATTTTCTCTCAGGTAACTGATAGTGTGGAGCATCCTATCCTTTACCATAGACACAAACTTCTCACTGGAGAAAGAAATTATACAGTGGTCAAAAAGGAATGTCTCACCATCAAATACCGAAACCCTTTGCTATTACCTCGGCAGGGCATTTGCTCTTGTTACAGACCATACCCTGTTAACCTGGATGAAGGCCAGTAAGGACAAAAATGATTGGATCACCTTCTGGTTCCTTGACCTTCAACCTTGCAGGTCCATGGTCAAACACCAAGCTGGATCATTGCATGGGAATGCCAATGCCTTCTCCAGAATCCAGTGTCTCACAATACTGAGCGCTCTGAGATTACATGTTTGAGCTGGGGGAAGGATATGTGACACAGTTAGCCAAAGTCCCACTAGTTTCTGCTAGAGGGCCTCAAAGACCAGGAATTCAGCTCGATTCTCACCTCCTTGACAGCTGCATGGTTGTTGATTTTCTCCATCTGTAGTTCTTGAGCTAGAAGGCAATCGTTCTCTCTAGATCTAATATGATTATATCTGTCTCTGGAGCCTTACAAGCTCACCTGAAGAAGAAAAGTTATTTTTATTTCTCTACTCTGGTCTTCTGTCTCCCTCTAGAGAAAGAGATATTGATTTGAAGTGGCGATACCCGCAGCTCTGTGAAGACAAAAAATCGCCTTAGCCAGGCACAGTAATTTGTGCAATTGGGAAATTGGTAGGATAGGGGTTCTGCAAAGACAAAAATACTGCAAAGACTGCTGCTCTGGAACTGATCCAAAGAAGAACAGCCAGATACATTACTGGGCTAAAAGGAATGCCCAACTCTGACAAGCAAAAGAACGGAGTCTTTTTTAATGTTGAACAGAGACTATCAGGAGACCTTATGCAAATGTTCAAAAACCTCAAAGGCACTGACAGAGTCAACTCCCTGGACCCCTTCAGAATCAACAGTGAAACACAAATGGAAACTAAGGGAAAGTTCATTTAAAATAGAAAAATGTATGAGATTCTTGAATTAAAAAGTAATGAGCCAAAAGGTCTCCTCTCATTTATATCCCTTCTTATGTGTCTATGTGTAGAAATTACTGTTTTTTGAAAACTGCAGAATTAAATAAATAAAAGTACTATAAGGTAATTTTAATTTGCAATGAATACCTACGTAAACAGATTTGTTGTGCTTCTTTGAATTGTAATACATTTTGTGTGTATTGGTTATGTATGTTTTTGTAAAAGAAATGTGTAAGTCTTATAGTATTTGTTTCTTTTGCCTATCCAAATTTCATACAAGTACACTGTAACTCAACATCACTTTGAGTTATCAGTTTGTCCTAAGCTTATCTACAGTTTCTTGTCTCTTGCTGTCTATATTCATTTATGGACTGACCATACCACTATTACATTAAGTCGCACTTTTTGTTTTCAGATATGTATGAAAGAGAAGGAGAATGGATGGTTATTTTCCTTGACAACCTCAAATCTTATTTGGGGGCGTTCTTCCTGGGTTTAAATGTGAAGTTTCTCCCATCAATATCTTCACTGTCTATAAAGTGCGATATCCGTCGGATTCCACACTCCAGTACAATCCAGCTCCATGTTGGTGAGAACAAATACAAGTGACAAGATAGCATTTGCCACTCAAAGGTTTAACTCCTGTTTTTGTAGTAATGTAGTGATGGTGTTTGTTTTCTTATAATGCTAAAACCCATCTTTCTTGGACTTTTGCTAGATGGAATTCTGAAACACTTAATGGCGTTAAAACCTATGGATGCATTCTGTGTCCTTGGTGTGACTTTTTGTGACCTTTACTCCTGTGACACATGGAACTATACATATGGAAAATCTTTAAATGAGCAAGGTAAGTTATGTAAGTTATCTGTTAAACTGCATTTCTAGGTTCTCAACTGAATGATGATATCATACATTAATCAGTAGTACTTGCTATCATTGCAGTAGAAAAAATATCTCAAAGCTAATAAAAGTTTACCATAGTAAACCACGATAAAAAAGAATGAAGAATGAAATGCCACAAGAACTGCATAATTTAAATGATATAAGAGTCTGTTAAAATGCAGAACAGTAGATAGATCATGACGGACACTGTGGAAATTAATAGCAGAGCAATGAGAATGAATAGTAAAAACATGCCATATTTCAAAAATCAAATAATGTAGTAAACATGAAGAACATTAACTACTTTACACAGAACATTAAATCATCAAAAATGTTGTGGCAATATAAAGCAGTATGTAACATTGTATTTTTACAGACTATACTAGATTTTAATATATTCTCTTTACCTTTTGTGCAGCAGTAGGTGTCTGCAGCTTTTCCCGATTATCTGGGAGAACTTCAGAGAAAGTGCCTGAGGCAGGTGAATGGAAAGCTGAAACTCACCATCTCAGAAAGGAAAGTCAGCATGTGAAAGAGCAGCCAGAAACCTTAACTCTGAATGAACTGTTACAGTGTTGCAAGGTGAGGAGGGAGACAGACAGCAGGAAAGGATGAAAAGATTATTCCCACATGGCTCAGTTTTTTTATGTTAAGCACTCAGTCGAAAGGAAAAATTACATAAAAACCTAAATGCTTTACAAACCCTGAATGAAGCCTTCTGTTTAACGGTGCCTAATGTATAATATATAAAAAGCTTGAATCTTTTTTTTACTAAAGTAGTTAAAGGTCCATCAAAAATATTTCCAAGACATCAATTATAATATATGTAATTAAGTGCATATAAAAAACTGATGTTATAAGGATAAAATAAACTTCTTAGGACTGGAGCATAGTAAACTGTTACATTGAAAACCAAACATCTTGGTTACACTGAGCATTCCTTAAATATAGTGTCTAGTTTTGAGAGCACAGAATCCAACTTCTAGAATTTTGACATGAGACTTTTGAAAGAATTAAGTGAGATTTTTCTATAATAAAACACCTGAGAATAGAGTGTGTCTGTATCATAACTGCTGTTAATTGTTTTTGTTACAACCCTGCTTCTCACTCCCACACTGATGTTTGAAGTTTGGCCTTTGACATAGCAATCTCACAGTGAGAGATTAGTTGTGAGTGGTTTGGAATTGTACATCACTGTTAACTCGATGGAACTGTGTTATAGATTGCTATAGATATTACCACCAGATTTATTTTCAACATTGATTAGACAAGTTTATGGGATTAATTAGATCACAAGATAAATGTGCAGGTAGCATGATTCTAGCTTATGTTATAAACAAAATACAACTAATTGATAAAAATGATAAATTATAAACATTAAATACAACTGAGGTAATCATTTGTAAGCCTAATGCTTGATTTTAAAATCAATTATTTTAACAATTAACACTAATTTCATTTGTACAAATTTCAATAAAAATATGTTAGAAAATCAGATAAGTACATGATAATTTTGAATTTATTGAATTAATATATACATGGTAAAAAAATAAATTGAAGAAATGTAATGAGGTACATATTTCAATAAGCTTGTCACTATATGTGTATTTGTGTACATGCTTTCCTTTCATCCCAGGACTTTGTTACAATTATTAATCTCCACAAAAGTGATACATTTTCAATTTTATGCTCACATAATGTATTCATTTAATACGCTCATTGTATATTCCTATCAATACTACCTATAATGAAACAGACATATCAGGTAACTCTCAAATAGAATGGAAGGTTTTTTAAATTTCATTTTTTTCCAGAAGCAGGAAAAGCATTAGGAAGATCACACTGGACTTTATCTTACTACAGGAACAAGTAAAGGTTTATTCCATGCTGAAAAGAGAAGAAAGGAATCACAACGTTTCGGCTGCGGAGCCTTCTTTGGGTGTCATAAATGATTGGTGTGACCAGATACATTTATTGGTTATTTACTGGTGATTAGTTGGTATTTTTAATTTTGACGATATAGGGTATAATTTTGCCATATTACAAATACTAGAGCTATATGGATTTAAACATTACATACTGTGCAGCAAATTAAACTTATCACTCTATTGTGTTTGTATGTTTCAATACATTTGAAAGGATTCCATTTTAAGATATAGATTAAAAGTTTTTTGCTTAATTTTGAGTAATTGATGATTTGTGGGTGACCATGATCCACTAGAGAGAGTGTGGCAGAAGCACATCTGATTATTTGATTAGTTCATTGGACACAGGTGATACGTTGTCATTAGTGAGCACAGTCATGGCTCAGGAAGCCTACAATAGCATGTCTCACTTGGCAATATTTGATTTCAAGGTGGTCAGTCATGAAGTGCGTCACCTGGTAGGCCTGGAGCACTGCCGATGGCTGCGGTGTGCAATGCAAGGAGTGACAAGCCAGGACGAAGTGTTCCTCAGGCCCACAGACCTCTGTCCCATCTGCCTCAGGAAGCTACAGTTTGCCCTGGGCTTCACTCTGCTAGAGCGCTACAAGGTAAAGACCATGATGCATACTGTACTATATTGTCACATATTGTAAGGCAGCTTTCCAGACTCCAAATTAAACTCTACAGACTTGTGATAAATTTTGAAAGTTTTTTTTGGGAATTCCACTTTTAAACCTCTGTTGAATCTGACTGGATGACACTGTGAAAATGTAATTTTGTATCTTGTACAACTTATCATGTTCTGTGAAGTACAGAAAGCTACATTTTAATTAAATGCACAAATATGTGGGAGGGTACTGTAGTCTCCTGAAAGAAATTTACTTGTCTAGTGCTGTGCATTTAATAGAAAGCTATATGCAATACAGTTCGATAACATAGATGTATGTATATATAATTTAAAAAAACTGCGTTGTCTGCCAAAACAAATTTGTCTTGAAACAGATTCACCTCTGCAGCCTCAAATCTAGCTTCTGGAGCTTTGAAGAGAAACGAATGAATAGTTACACAGCTCTTTTTAATTCTGGTTTGGGATTTCAACATTAGGGGGAGCTCTAAATTAACAGATTAAGTGCCAAACAAGCCAAAGTCCCACACTTCTCAGGTAAGTGATGATGACCCTATGAAGTGATCTCCATTAAAGTAGTACAACTTTTGCTACTAATTGGCATCATCTGTTCTTTTTTAAACAGGAATCTTATTATTTATATTGGAGATAGAGACAGTCCCCCTTAACTGTTATTCAGCTAATTATTCAGGGTTACCAGCTGTTTTTTGTACTTTCACTGTAAACACTTCATAAACATTACAATATATGACATTTTTTGTTATTTTTGATTGCTTCTTAAACATTTGGATTTAATCTGATCATGTTTGTTAATATCTAAAAAATACAGTTTGATGTAAACTAGAAAACGTTGCATGACCAAATAGGTCACATGACCAACGAAAGTTTTTAACTCTGAGAGACTTAATCAGATATCCCTCCAATTTTTTATCCTTTTCAACAGAAGCTTCAGGCCTGGTGCCAACATGCTTCTTTCACCTGGATCCCCAAGGACAATGTGGACAGAATTACTTTAGAGGATCCTTTCTTGTTCAGCTCCGACTCTGGCATTTCTTGTGAGAATGTGTCAGAGCCTCTGTCTGCAACCTTGGAGACCGTCAGCCCAAATGCAGAAAACCAGGAAGTCTCTGTTGCTCGTGCATTGGAACATGATGGACATCCTACTGCTGCAGCTTTGTTTTCCTTTTCTGGCACATGCAAGACTCAGAGAAGCGAGGAAACAGTGGTGTGTGTTGAACTTTTTGCAGACCCACTTCAGGACTATGAAGCTTGGCTGGATTTGTGCATCACGAACCTTGAGACTGAAGTTCCAGAAGACAAGCTCTCTCAGTTGGACAATCTTGTGGATGCTTTGCCCCCTCACAGTACCATCCTAGACCGAGTGCCTATTGTAAGGGTATCTCTTGAGGCTCCTAAAGAGGACAGACGTTTGAAAACAATTATTGGGCAGAAGTTTTCCCTTTTATGTAGGAAGCTGAGCTCAAGGAAGCTGAAAATGTCTCATTTGTTTGATGATAGTGGGGAAGATTGAATGTATTATAGATTGAATGAGGGTGTTATCCATGTAACCTGTCTCACTAAAAGAAAACAAATCAGTTTCAGAAGAGATTAAAACAATAACCACATCTGATAACCCATGGATATCAGTGCTAACTCCTGACGTTTAATCCCAAGAGCTTGTATTATCACATACAGAGTATTCGTCCCCTACTGTACAAAGGGCACAAACATTAGCTTTCTTCGACAAAAGTTTCATAGTGTGAATATGCTTTTCTGTAGCTGTGGTATGTGTTAAAATAAAATTGTTAAAAAGTGCAAGACTGTGATGCAGTGTAAATAATAAAGACATTAATATAATTAGACAAGCACCATACAGTATGAGTATGGGAGTTTTAATTTTAAAAGACTGTTTTCACCTTATAGCTCTAATGGAAATATACAAAAGTATAATTAAATGTCAAATACTATGCTATGGAAAAATAAATTACATCATCTTCCAAATGTGATGTTATATTCTGTGCATATATGTACTGTAAAGATCCAGTTTGCAATTTTGGCCTACAACATAAAAATAACTACTGAGAGCTGGCTGTAGATTCTATAGGCATCACTCCTGTTTTGTTGTTTTTAGTTCAAATCCTTAAATTCATTGTGACCTCTGAAAATGCATCTAGTCCTACTACATCAGTATGCTAATGTCTCCAAGTAGTGTAGAAAAGGATTATAGTCCCAATGTGCATGTGAATGACAGTATAAGAAGATCCAAGAAAGAAAACGTGTTAGGGAAATAATTAAATCTTTTCTGTAGTCAAGCCTTCTAACCTTAAGTAGCATGTCCTAGAACTGAAACAAATCGGAGCACTTCTTACTGGTCCAGGGTTTTGAAAACAAATTCAGGCAAGCATCACACAGAAACATCTCCTGTTCATCATTGTTCAGAGACTTGTTCAGAATTCAGGAGTTGGCTCGCTGTAGAAGGCAAAAGAAAAACACTGGGATTGTCATCGGGTCTTAAACCTCCCAACAAAGTGCTATTCTTCAGTCTTTTGTCACTTGGCACTTTCCTTCATATTCAATGTTCTCCGTCAACAATCAGACATTTAACCTGTCTGATTGTTTAACTAGTTTAAAAAAATGCTAAAAAATATTAAACTGGATTTCCTTCCCAGTGGGCCTCAGCTGGTGTCTGCCCATTTGCTCTGTGATGATAGCAGATTATTAAATATCAGAGTTCAGCTTTTGGTTCAATTAAATTGAGCCTCAAGGAAATGTTTAGATAACAAGAGTCATGAGATTTTACTCAATCCATGGCCTGCTTGAAAAAGAGTCCTTGTAAGTTTCCTGATTGCATCTTGGTTCCACTGTGAAATGTGCCCATTTACTAAAGGGTTATCTGAAGAGTATTTATTTTGTGTCCTAATGTATCGGGTTCATTTGATACAATGGCAGTAAAAAGGTTTTAACAAGGTTAAAAATGAACTATCCGCATTTTCATGATAGCAGAACTCACTAACACAACAGTACAAGATGTTGATCGACCTGAAAACCTTATAATAAACTCAGACATGATTAATAAAAAATATGAAGTTTAATTTCACAGTAATAAAAACAGGCAGAAATCTGGCTGTATCTTTTCCTGTTTTGTCTTTGTCTCACATCTAAGATTTAACTGTTTTAGAGACATCATTAATCATCCAGAAACTCTGTGGATGTAGGATGATTCAAAATCCACCATTTTCTAGGTCCTGTATTTCCATCTGATTTTGGTATTTAAAGCAGGTAATCACAACTGGTAAAAAGCTCAGAGTATTAAATTCTGCTGAACTAATGAAGCTTCAGACAGAAATTAAATAAGTAACCACAGACTCCTGGAGATAAAACTTCCTGTGCTTATTAACTCTTGCACAACTCAGTAAACCATATTTTTGACCTTGAAAGTAAAGTCCATGCATTCCAACACACTCACACTCATGTACACTGTATACTGCTTAATTTATTTTTCCTTGGTTTGTAATATTAGTTTTCTACATAATAATACACAAGTTATTAGACTTTGTCTATTCAGAAGCAGTTGAAAAAGTACTCTGCAGTACTTTTTATCATTACTATATCATCCAAGCTCAGTGATCCTCAACACTTACCCAGTCAGCTGAATGTCCACTATGGGCCTCCATCTTATTCTCCCTTTGTGGGGACAAGATGAATCTTTCAATGTTTTGAAAGAACTGTTTTTAACAGTAACTTTGAGGAGGTAGAAAAACCTTTTTTAACAAAATATTTATTCTTCTTAACCTCTAATACAGGTTAATGATTTCGAAAGGAATGCCAATTGTTAAAGAATTAGGTTGTCAGTAACAGCATAATTGTCTTTATAATATCTTGATGCACTGAATTTATTTTAGCTACTGCTCAGCATTTATCAAGGCCATAAACTTGCTCTCTTATTAACAGAAGCATATTCTCTGCAGTGGCATCTTTGTGCATTAGATATGGTGATTACCAGACATCTAACCCTGGCTTACAGTATAACATTTTTAAGGAGAATGCAGGACATGGCTTGCTGCCAAATAAAATCTAAAAAAAAAAACCTTCAATCAACATATAGTATATTTAATGTATTTATACAATTCATATATACAGAACAACTGCAATACAGTTAATCAATTCAGAATTTAAAACTTTTTACAATCAAGGGACATTTTCATTACAATCACTGTGCTAAATAAAGTGAACAGAGAACAACCATGTGGTTTTACACTCTCAATGAAACACTATAGAAGAAGAATGAAAGAGGCCTGAAAGCTGAAATACATAATTTTGGTACTCCTGGTTTTCTGGTTATAGCAAATCAGATCTAATTTTGTTTTCAAAGTACTTTTTCACAACAAAGCATCAAACATGATGTGTAACACTCACAAAGGTGAAGTTTCATGGCACTCAGATCAAGAAATTTAAATATTAAATTCATTGTAAACATATTTTTTTCATATTTACATAAACCAATGCATTTATATCCAGTTCTATTATTTTTTAAATTTTTGTATCTCAAATTCTAAAATCAGATAACGTCTTGATAATTCCTTTGGACATTATATCATATCCGGAAAACAAACCACAATCCATTATATTATGTTCTTAAAATAAACACATGATAATTTTAAATGGTCATCATAAGAATGAAAGTCTTATATTTGATAGCCAAGCTAATTTTCATGTTCATGTCTCTAATCAGCAAGGGACTAAAGGTCAATATCTGTCTTTTTTATTAAGGCTTTCATAAAATCAGAAATTGTTTTGTGGGACTTTTGCTACTCAGACAGACTAAACAACAGTCTTTCTTAACTGGCATTTAGCTGTGCTAGATGTTTTCCATTTTAAATAAAGAGGCCTGTTAGGGGATGATATGGGTGTGTGGGAAGCTAGGGGAATATAAATGAACTTTACAAGCTTTAAAATGTAAGTCAGTTCCAAATTAATCCTGGCTATAGGAGTTTTTTCAGCAAAAGCAAATTTAGTCTTCTGATTACAGGGCAAGCCAGGAGACCAGAATTTATTTCAAGCTGGCAAGATTAAAATGTTGGTTAACTTTTACTAATTTGAAGGACAGATGTTGATCAGTTCAAGTTCCTTTGTTCCAGAAACAAAACCTTAGATTTTCCTTTGACACCTTGTACCACTTTTCACCTTTACTAATCATAAAGAACAACAGCACTTTTCACATTCAACGTAAACTGTTGTAATTCCAAAATAACATCACGCAAGTTCTCATTCCTCTGAAGTACCACAGCACAAAATCCACTCCCAACATACAAAAGCACTATTTTAATCAGTCAAAAAACTTATGAGATGTGACAAGCAACAAATATATCATTAGGACTGGAAAATCAGAGGGGTCTACTGCATGTTCCCGATATGGAGAGGATGTAAAGGAAATAAAGTTAATAAGAAGAACAATTTGAATACACTACAGTGTTACGTGAGGCCTATATATTATACCAGGTGGAATCAATTTGAGGAAATGTATTAAGTTTGCAGAATCTATTTAAGCAAATACTGATGACAAAACCAGATTACAGGAAAAGATTACTTAAAAATGATCATAATTCAGATACACATAAAACATTCACTGTTAAGCCATTCTGTATTTGCCAGTTTTTAGACAAATCAGCATAATTTAAATGTGAGAAGTTAACTTATTTCATTAGTTGTGAGCTCCAGAATACTGACCCATATAATGTCCCTTAACTTGATAAATTATTTCTATTTGCAGTCTTTTCGTTTTAAATCCAGGACTTAATTTTTTGTGCCCATGACAAATACCTAAAAGTTATTTGGAAAAAGAACAGAATTATCTCTTAGCATTAAAGCCCTACAAATGCAACATAATAGGTTAGCTACATGGTCAATCACACATCTGTAGAACAAAGGTATTATCCCCAGGGGATCCTACTGGACACTACTACAACCCAGTATCTTTCAAAAACCTTGCAAAACATGCTTGAAACACATATTAGATTTCTAGTGCAAAAAATGTAAATTACAAATACCATCATTTATCAGTAAAAAATATAGGACATCTTCAGGACAACTTTAGTAGGAATGCTATTCTGGAATCACTAGGTTCTATAATATGTTGTTAAATGCCAGGTTTTCCAAACCTTTTCCTCCACAACAAAAAATATTTGTTACTAAAAATAACACTCTTCCACTCCAGTTACATGCAATTTTGTGAATTTAAGGACTCTTAGTGACTAATTTAATAGCTTTAGTCAAGAATTCAATTTAAAGAACCAAGTGCCTGCAAAATAAAGAAACAATGAAACATCTGTTAGTTTTGAATCAATCAGAGCTCTATTGACATCTTTCATAAAAAAGTGTGACTTTGAAATCTGATATCAGGAGCAATAATACTAAAATAAAGGTTAAAATACACTAAGGGGTTACAAACAATGGAAGACACACTTTATACATAATATTTACAATATACACATTTTGCTTTTTTCAGAATTTAGAAACCATTACGTAAATAATGTTTACAGAAGACTGTCCTATAAAAGTCTGTACATCGTAATGGCATTTTTCTTTAAGCTCATCCATCCATATTGACAAAACCAATATAGACCTGAGGATTCAATATATTAGAGCTGTGTGTTACAACGGAAAGTAAATTACACCTTTGGAATGAACACTAACAATCTCCTAAATCTACAATGTACAGTGGTATTCATATTCTTTAAAAACTGAGTAAAGCCTCCCTTCACTCCAAATTACATTTTGAAGGATTTAAGAAAAATAATTGGGCTATTTGAGCCATAAATCAGTTAAGTATTTTGGCTTTACTAAAAATTCAATATGGAGACACAAGGAAATGTTATATTTTGTTAAATTATCAGATTATTATTAATTTTCAAAGAAAACGCAACAATTATACAGCTACAGGAAACACTAAGAACAAGACTAGGCAGGAAAGAGGTTTGACACACTGCTGTATGCACTTAATGGTCATATTCAAGAATAGAGTTGTAATGACAATCAAGGGTTAAATGGAGAATTGCTGATTAAGCAAAGTGCACATCTGTGGCAGTTACACAATAAGTGTCTCTGCTTTATGACCGGAAGTGAAGACGGAAAGACATTATATCAAATATCAAGAAGGCATTGACTTGGAACTCTATCACACTGGGATGTGTCATAGGCACTATAGCCTATACTTGGACAAAAAGCAATCTTCTAACCTCTGCTTCTCATCATACTGCTATCTACTGTCATATAAAAATGTGTCCCAAGGTTTTATTCTGCCTAAATAAAAGCTACACAAAAACAACATGAATTAACTAGTATTAGTGTTCACCAGTAGATATTTTAACTAAGGAGGTGATATGGTGATAATGTGGAAAGTCATTTAATCATTGCTTTAACTAAACAGCTGTAAAAATATGAATCCCATTACAAATACCTTCAGCACAATGAGCGTGCTGTCAGGTTACTGGTTAAATCAGTGCTGTAGAAGCTTAAAAATTCAGCTTTGTTGTTAATTTTAAGGCTATTGGCTTTTAAAAAACATTAACAGATGGCAGTGTAAAGCTTTAAACTTAATTGTTCAGTTAATGTTCTCTACAGTTCTTAATAATACATATGCTATAAATTGAATTCTTTCAGTTTTTGGTTTTGGCTTCCAGTGCTTATAGCTAGGCTTTTCAGACTGGATCTGGAGGCACACTGAAAGAAGACACAACAGTTAACAGTTAAATAACACTTCAGTCCTAAAAGGAAGGATCTTATGTTAAAGCAGTTCCACTACAGTAGTCTGAATTACTTGTTAGACAGAATACCCTATATATTGCCTTTTACCCCGTAACACTAGATAATGCAAAATAGGTTTTTCTCTCCTTCGAACCCCCCCCAAAATACTGTTTGTTCTCATATCTTTAAAAATGCTATACAAATTAAGAAGTATATCTGATATGATTTTAGTTGGCACCTGTCCCTTCCTATTACAAGCATTCTTGACAAAGGCGGTGCAGACTAAAAAAACACATATACATGTTTTTATATTCCCCTTAACCTTCGGTGTCTATAGAATTCATTATTCTGACACCTTAGGGGGAAAATGGCTGTTAACAAGCTGTCAGAAACACTGCTGTAAATTCAAACAATGAAGAAACTAATCTGTCACACAGGCACTTAGATCTCAGTTTGATATAACTGCAGTATATGCAATAGTCTTTAGTGCAATACTATTATATAGCCACAACGATGTTAATTTGCATACTGTATATTAACACTATCTATATACAATTAAAGGGTTTACAACCAATGGGAAAAATAATGGATACTTGTGAAAAATAAATGTTTGATCCTGTGCATGGAATATTATATATAACTAAGCAGGACAAATGCTTTCATCAGATATAGCTCTTACCACTGTAGATGAAAATGTGGTAAATTAATCTGTTATTTGGTATATTGGTTAAAAATTTAGAAGACCTGGATTTTTTTTGACACCTATAAAACCTAGGAGTTATACTACTGTCATTAGATGGGGAGGAGAGCAACTTTCATCTGCACTTTGAATGTGTTCAATCGCACAGGAATGGACGCAAGGCACTCAAGAGAGGTGCGATCACTGCAGCATGATGTCCTTGAGGTTCTCTTGCAGGATGGTATCCTTGACTGCATGGAAGACGAAGCGGATGTTCTCTGTGTCGATGGCAGTAGTGAAATGGTGGAAGAGGGGTCTACTTCGGTTCCGCCTCTTGCGATTAAAGCACTGGACCAGGTAGGCCTGCACATCCTCCAGTCGGTGAGGGTCTCCCTGGAAGTCGGAGAAGTGCTTCTTGATGCTGACCTTCTTCACCTTTTCCACCAGCAAGTCCATCTTGTTAAGGAAGAGAATGATGGACACGTTGGAGAAGAGCTTGTTGTTGACAATAGTCTCAAAGATGTTCATGGACTCCACCAGACGATTGGTGCGGCGGTCTTCCATCAGCACCTGATCATACTCGCTGGAGGACACCATGAAGAGAATGGAGGTGATGCCATCAAAGCACTGAAACCACTTCTGTCGCTGTGAGCGCTGACCTCCCACATCCACCATCTTGAATGGGATCTTCTTGATGACAAAGTCATGCTCCACAATCCCTTTGGTAGCCTTTCTTGCCAGCAGGATATCCTGCCTGCTTGGGATATAACTCTGAAATTGATTATGAAAAATAAAAAAAATCAGTATCCTACCTTATTAACCACACTAAGTGGCTAGTAACAAATAACCCTTGTGCTGGATGAAGAACATTTTGACTTGTCACATTGTGCATCACATCAAAGATAAATGCTAAAGCAGCGGTCTCCAACTCTTGTCCTAGAGAGACCCAAACCATTTAGTTATACAGGTCGCATATTTATAAAGATTAAGAACATCTCCAAGCTTTTTAATAATCCAAGTATTTTTTTCAATTAAGAAAGGAAGGCCTCTTCCTTGACAGTCTTGACTGTAAATTACTTAATTTAACAAATTATCTGCATTATGAGCACAGGGTAATTGTTCCATGTCTAGAAATTGGTGATTGAAAAATGTGAAATGTGATGAACTGAGGATCTCCAGGAGCAGAGTTGGAGATCCCTGCACTAGGTGGACAGGTTGAAAACATAGAAAAAATGGAAATCATTTCACATAACCTACATGTCTTAACCTCTATGTTGTTTGATGTACTGGATACTTTACTGTTACAATACTCTTTTTATATACTCTGATTTGCATCTTACTCCATGACTGGCTAATCAAACCTCAGTTTTTTACACAATTTCATAGGATTATCACTCCTGTGTAAATGTTTAAATGGACTTGATGACTATGCTAAACAGACTAAGTGAACAGGACCTTACTGATTTGCTGTTATGAAATGTATACAGAAAAGCTTCTGATCTGATTTTTACATATCTGATTTTACCAAAACTTATGTTTTAGAAGTCTTTTAAAATCCAAGACAATTTTCAAACTAGATGTCATATTTATATAAACGCTACTCTACATTACACAGTTTGAAGAAACTTTTCTGAAGTACTAAAAAACATTTCTGAAGCACTGAAGTTACGATCATTAAACAATAGAGGAAGCCTCATTCTGCAACACCTACTACTGTGGTTAGAAAAATAAAGAGAATTAACAAGAATATGCAGCTGTATCTTGAAAGGTTATAAAAATACTATTCAAAACTTTCTCCAATGAAAATAAAGAGTATAATGCCAGTGATTTGTATTCATACAGATCACCAGTACACAAAGTTTGCAATATATAAGACAGCAATCTAAACCTATTAAAAATTATATATTCAATTTTCAAACGGCAGAGAGAGATGCTAAGAAATTAAATTTACTTTTACTAAAGATGTAGATATAAGGTTAAAATTAGATATAAATGTATAAGCAGAGTGGAGCAGTGGCTCTGTGGCTAAGGATCTGTGCTTGTTACTGGAAGGTTGCCAGTTCAAATCCTGCAGCCGGCAGAGGAATCCTACTCTATTGGGCCCCTGAGCAAGGCCCTTAACCCCAACTGCTCCAGGGTTGCTGTACAATGGCTGACCCTGCACTCTGACCCTGAGCTTCTCTCCCTGTCTGTGTGTCTGTGTCTCATGGAGAGCAAGCTGGGGTATGCGAAAAGATGAATTCCTAATGCAATAAATTGTATAGGGCTAATAAAGCAACATTAAATTAAATTAACATTAACATTAAAAGGTTCACTGATTGGCTACTGTGATACTAATATTATCTGCTTCAAGTGACAGAACTTGGAGAGTGAATCTTTATTTTAAAAATAATATTTTAACAAATTTGAATTTTTTAAAATACAACTGAAAAATTGAATATGGAATTTCACACCAATTTAATATATTGAAAACAACAGAAAATACTGCTGAATTGACAGGACACCTTTTGCAATATTGTTGTAAAGGCTCCCAGTGGTTGTACATTTAAACTAACAGCTAAATAGCTGGAAGTTGTTTAAGCAATTCAATATCTGAATGAACTGAATGAATGAAGGGAGGCTCAGGGAACCTCAAAAACCACCATAGAAATTCTCACATAATACAAAGCACTGCAAGACCTTTTGAATTTGGCAGTTAATGGTATTCTGACTCAAGACTTTGATGTTCAGGAAATCATCACACTGCAGTTCCTGAAGGCCTTGGAATCAAGCCCAAACTTCAAGATACAGAATTCCTTCACACTGTAGTGAAGTAGATTCCTGTTTCTCATTGGATTGGGATTATGGGTTCTTGCTCAAGCTACTTTTTTTTACCAACACAAAATCTGACCATAAATGGAACTTGAAGAAGGCTGGCATTTGTCCCGATCCTAAGTATTTTAACTGAAACAAAAACAGAGTAGGCTGTCTTGTATTATGTTTTTTAATTTGCTCTTTTTCAAGTTCAAGTTTTGCATTGATATAAACTGGAAAACCATGTAGAATGTGACTAATGGAATAACATAGTTCACACAGTCAGTGCAACTGGGTTAATTCTCAATGAGAATACACTTTTGAGGCATGAAACAGTATTATTCAGACACAGGCTTGTGAAACTCATTATTAAGCGAATATGCATACTCACCAGTTGCCCAATTCGGTCCAGGTTGTCCAAGAAATATTTCACTGATTCACCCTGAACAAAAAAAAAATATTTTACTTTTGGTAATACCAATTAGAATGATTTATATTGTTTGTGGGGTGGGAGAATTCCTTGATTGGTGTACTTCTGTTATAAATACTGTTCTTAGTGCAGATTACTGCACATTTGCAATGTATACACTTTTAGTGTAATCTATTCTGATTACTTTTTCCAATTACTCCACGCTCAAAACCACACTCTATCCAAGAGGGATATGCAAAACAGGATCTGAAAAAGAACAGCTATCAGCAGTGTAAAGCAAATTACAAGCAAAATACAGCAGAATTAAGAACCATAGATAAAGTTGGCCTGTTCTAGCCTGCTGACCTGTTCTGGATTTGCTCATAAGCAAGAAGACAGACAAAAACACAGAGCAAAATGAGCTATTAACGTCGTAATAATAATAAATCAAAGTAGAAAATAACTGCAGCGCAAAATACTGTTGAATTCTATCCACAAGATTAAGAAAATAATAAGTCTCTCATATTGTTGCAGTGAATACATTTTGATTCTAGAGGAGACTTTGTTCTAACATCCTTTCATGAACTTCCTAACTCTAGGTTCCTAATTGCATTGTAACTTACCCAAACCTACTAGTCATTAAAGAGAAGATATTTTTGTAAACACTGCTTTTTCCTTTTAAACCTTTTTAAGGGTTATTACTCATTGAAGCCCCCTGGATTGACTTATTTAATATTAAAAACCACTAAGAAGTATAAAATGCTTAAGTGCACTAAAGTAAAAAGAAAAAGTGTAAAAAAGTGATGGGAAAATGTACTGTGACAAACGTATATGAGTGTGTTACAGGTAGCTACATGGTTCTCAACCTCACACATTCTGTACATGCAATTGTAAACTATAGAAACTATAGAAAAGACGAAAGGAATAGCTTTAGCATAACAAAACAAATGAAAGTTTTAAAGGCTAAGGTTACTGTTTTTACAACCTCCAATTTAAGAATGTATAAAACAGCAGATCTATTCATATGTAGGAGCAAAATGTTCCAGATTACTTTTCAAGATGCACTGCTTTATTCCTGAACATATTTTAGTGTCAGTTATGCTGCCATATTTTATATTCTCCTGACTATGTATTGAATATATTAAGGGTTAAATGTGGAACATTTGTAAAATGGCACAAAAACTTAAAAGCTATCCACTTATTTGGGACATCTTGGCAAACCCACAGTAACAGAGTAGGCATAGAATCAGAAACAATCTATCCAAGAAATTATACATTTTAAAAAACTGTAATGAAGCACTAAAAACTGTCTTTTGTGGATGCATTTGTCAAGTCTGGATACTGAATATTTTTAGTTAAAAACTGCTGAGCTTCCATACTGTATGCTGTTTAATATTCTGTATAAAGTACTACACCTTTCCCATGAAACAGACAAACACTTCAATAATTTTCAGACTGATACATTTGAGTCTTATTTACATAAGTAAAATGTACTTAAGTGTTAGTAATAGAAGCTTGCTGTTGCTGCTTGTGGCAAAATACTGATTATTGGTTATCTTTAATCAAATACAGAGCTGTAACACTGGTATTTATTCAGCATATCTAAGCCAACATCAAACAAATTGTGAAGAACTACATACAAATTCCTTCTTCCTGAAATAGATGTTTTCACATTTTTTTTCTATTCTTTGTCACTTTCTTACCCTGAGACCCCCCTTAACTCAAGCCTTGTTTTTCAATAGTGTGCCACTAAAAAGTGTCCGTGAACAGCTGAATTGCTTTGAAGCTTTGTCTCTGAAAACCTATTTGACCATGGCTCTCTGCTCAAGTTCCTGTCTGCACTGAGGTGTCTACACATCCCAAGTCTGCCCACGCTCCCAACAGGAAACAGCTGTGTGTGGATACAGGAGGATTTACAAGACTGCCACCCGGGGCTTTAACCCTGGCCCCTGCTTATTTACAAGCCCCATCCCGATAAATGAAGGGAAATAAAGCTTTAAAGATTGAAGCCAACTAAGAGATCTTGAAATGGAGATATGAACAATATGATTTTATTCTGTATTTACAATGTTTATGTAGTGGGGTTTTGCATTAGTGGTTGTAAAAAAAATGAGATAGCAATACATTTTCATTTCTAATCTCTTTTTGAAGTAAGAGCTCTTGACTTTACCACCAACTCATAGCAAGGAAACAATCAAACCCAGAAAAATGAGAATCGGTGCCCTCTAACCTCCAGATTAAACACATAGTCACCAAGGAAACCCAAACAGGAGCTGTTGCCAAGGTACATAAGCCCAAGGGAGAAGGTTCAACGAAGCCATTAACTGAGAAACTGAGCATAAAAAGAAAGGGACTGTTATTAAAAGCTATTACTAAGATGCCCAACCTTCTTGGATAGATGTCCTTTTAGTTGAATTTAGTATACAGTGTCACAGCAAAATAATACAATGCTTAACCCTGATAATGACATTTTGAAATAACTGTTCCCAGGCTTAAATTTTTGCATTTCAAATAAAGGTCAAACTGTGCAAAAACAAAATCATTTTCTTCAGATGTAAATGCTTTTAAATTTCATTTTCTTTTTATGAAGATTTTATGCAGTTCAATGACTCCGAAACATTTGACCCCTCTCTCCTGTATGTCATTTAAGCTGTGATCTGACAGTGTGGGAAAGAAGGGTAAAAAAACTCTACTGCACAAGGGTTTGTTTAAAGTCTCACAACTACCAAAGTATGTAGTTGCTGAATTTTACTCAGATGGGAAAACACATATAATTGTTTCAATTCTGCAACTAAAGATAACAATACAGTCAATCCTTCTCTTTCAGAACTATCTTGAAAGTAACAAGGCAAGTTTTAACAAAGAATTCTCCATCATGATCAGTTTCACTCAGGGTTGTTTCTTACTAAACCAAACATTTGAAATGTATTAAAAAAATAAACTTTGTAGTTCACTGATACAATTCAAAAATAATTATAATATCAAAATACCCATGGGTATACATGGCCTAAACATTGCAGATTCGTTCCAGGATCTCTAAAACAAAAGAAAGTCAACACCTTAGCATTTGTGATCTGGAGGTATTTCTATGAATAAGAGACATTACAACTTAAAAATAAGTATCATCTTATTTTGTTCATCTGGTACCTCTGGACCTTCCAGCTTCCAGCAAATGTTTTGTTTGGAAACATTGTTGCTTTGAGTTGTATTAGAGATATTTCAGATTATTCTATTTTAGTGCAGGGTCAGCAGTTCCTTCCTGGAAGAGCCTATTTTCTAAATCCATAAAAGAGACCAGAAGGTTTCCTGGTGCTGTAATGCACCTCCCTAAGGTTTCCGCACATTCCGCACATTGTGTTTTCCGGCAATGGAGCTGAGAAAAACACAATCGAAAAGCAACTAGGAGCATGAAAGACAAAATTCTGCTTTTATTTTATTGTATTTCCTATTTATATAGGAAATGCATATACTGTGCTGTGTGAAGTTTCCAGCTCATGAATTTTTGTTAAACTTGTGCCCACAACCACAAAACAAGGCTTATAAAATAAGCATATTTAAAAAAGGACAAAAATAAAAAAAATCATTAGTTTCACATTGCTAATGTAGTACCTTCTATGGTATGCAAAATATTTTTAAATAATTCAAGAGATACCTAAACTCCCCCTTTAACTCATGTGTAATCTAGTTGTATCAACTTTTAGGAAAACACCCTTTTAAATGCTATAAGGAAAAGAAAAAGACTAATATGATGGTTATGTCTGGCAACATAAAAAATATACTGCTTTTTCCAACAACTGTTTTTTATTGCTGGTAATATAAAATACACATAAAACAATTTTAAAATGCTAAACTTTGCCATTTTGCAATGGGTAAATGTGATTCTGTTACAATACCCAATAAATTAGAGGATCATTGAGCCTATGGGAACACTTGCACGTTATCCTACTGCATGTGAGAATCACAAGCTTGCATTCCAAGAAATGGCTGTACTGATGCCAAAAACTACAAAAATGAGACGAGATAATTTCCCTCATTAGTGGATGCTTTTACCCAGCAACAATTTCAATGAATCATTATTTTTACGTTTTATAGGTAAATAAGGCGTTTATCAGCAGGGTTCCCATAAACATATGTGATTATGTGTATCCTAACGCAAAAAAAGTAGACACCTAACTTTTTTTGTCAGAAAAGATATGATCTGGTTTTACGTACATTCAGTTTATTGGCAGGGTTTACCCTTGCTAAATTGCTGTATATATTGAGGCATTCACACTATAAAGAAACTTAAATGCCTTTTAGAACTGCATCTCCTGCTGGCTTTGATCCAAACTCCTGAACACCTCCTGTGCTCACTGTGCTGCTGGGTAACTGCACATTTGAATGAAGTGTAAACTGATGGCTTATGACATTTATATCTTTATCTTTGTTTCTACAAAAGTAAATCCACAAAAGACCAACAAAATCTAGAAACATGGCTGCATATCCATGAAATATCTTGGAGAGGGATATGTTTTCTTCTTTAACCTAAGATTTTTTTTCCATTGACATACTTAATATCCTTGGCTTCAGACCAAAAAGCTTCATTTATAAAAAGGCCCCTGTGGTGACTTAAATGTTTGAGTTGGATAAAGGCAAAGATCCAAACGTTATCCCCTACAATGAGATCTAACACACCCAGTAAAATATTATTTAAATCTAACTTCATATCCTTGGTATGAAAAAGTTTTATATTGGTCAACATTTTGTTTTGATCTTTTAAAATTTAAGAAATGGAAAGGAAACCTTTAAATAGTATATTAAGTATGGCTTTTAATTTGTTTTCATGGTATTAGACTGATAAAATGACTCCAAAAAGAAAAGTCTAGAAAGAAAAAGGCCATACACACATATATTTTAAGATAATTCAAATAGACTCCTTGATGAAGATCAAACATGAGTTATGAAAATGTAATACTTGAAGACATATTTTAGTTTGAACAAAATTTTAGTTTTGCCATTCTAACTCTTGTTCAAATTTTCTTGGTTATCAATTA